GGCCAAAGTATATGTTAACTAATGATGAAGCCATCCATCCTGATCAGCAGGAAAGCACTTGATTATTGAATAAACGCTCCACTGGGAATTGGTTCTCTATAACAAATGGTATGAAGTTTTTATCTTATCATTGATAGATATGTACATTTAGTGTAATAAAACTGAAAGCAGAAAGTATTAGAATTTGACATTGATAAATTGCATAGAAACTGCAAGTGAGATTGGCTTTCTCTGTGCCTGATACCACAAACAGGACATTTAAAAGTATTGGTAGATTTCACTGAAATAAACATTCAAATTTCTGTTCACCATAAGGTGCCAAAAATAGTCAATAAGAGGAAGTCAGAGACACTAACAGAGAAAGAATGGCCATATTTACCATCCATTATCATCATTTCTACCATGATAGTCATTATTTTGGAAAATCCAGGTGAATCAATGGCATAAACACTAAATAATAATAAATGAATAAACATGGTTTTCTGCTGGACATGGTGGCACATGCCTGTAATCCCAGCACTCAGGAGGCTGAGGCTTCTAGATCACCATGGAGTTCAAGGCCAGCCTGAACTACATATCGAGACCCTGTCTCAAAAAATAAAAGCATGAATGAATGAAAGTGAATTTATGTATAATCTTGAAGTCTTTAAATCAAAATAAAAATGAAAGGCAGATGATAAAAATGGACATTGATTAAAATAATAAAGCTGAATACGTGAAAACCAAAATATAAACACCAAATTCCAGTAGGTCGAGTATGTCCTTCATATATGGTGAAAACAAGATTTAAAGTGAATGACTTCTTTTGAATAAATAAGACTGAAGCTATCCAGACCGTAAGAGAGGAATGCAACTCTCTGACTATCCATCCAGCACTAACTATACCTCCTCCTGGACCTGAGTAGATCTAACTGGGAGCACTGCTCACTGCTGCACCCACTGAGCAGCAGGCTTAGGCACTATGGGGTTGGCATTGCATTTTCAGCTGAATTGTCACTGACCCCAGGCAACCGCGCACCTAGTGTCAACATCCTCTGTTAGCCTGCATTGAACGTCCCTTTAAATGTTTTGTCTCTGGGGAGGGACTGATAATTCAGTGAGTAATGTCCAGCTGAACTCAGGGCTTCTCTATCACTTTACTCCTTAGACACACCATGTCACTCACAGCCATGTCTACCTAGGCTAATGGGCTCACAGACATGAGTTATGTGCCACTCGATCTACAGGGGGAAGTGAAACCAAAAGGCACCAGCCTGAATAATCTGAGTAGCTCAGAAAGGCACAGACACTTGGTGAAATGGGCTGGATGTAGCTGGGCCACAGATGTTCCCTGCTCCCTCCTCCAGTAGTGACAGAAGCAGCAGATACTTCTACACAGTCCTGGTCATCGGGTTCCCAACTCCCTCAGAGCTAATGTGCTTCATGTGTGGAAAGGAAGAATGCTGGTGGCCGCACGTGTGAGCCAGGTTGGCTGTGGTTTAACTGCCTTTAGTTTTCCTTTTAACACGCGTACTGTCCCTTGCGCTGTCCCAACCAGTAGGGGCCGGTTTGACCTTAAGTCTCTTCCAAGAATCAACCACATTTGACAGAGCACGGAAACAAATAAGCCTCAGAAAATGAAGCCACATCAATCACATCAGTGCCGCCTGTCACTCACTCTGTCCCCTCCTGGCCAGGCTTCTGTACTGCACTGCTGAATTTCAGGGCAGCCCAGGGGGAGGCGGAGGGAAGGAAGGTGTTGAGAGGTCTGAGCCCCCAGGGACCCTGCCTGGGCCCCACCTGTGACATCAGCTGCACAAAGCTCTGGGTGGTGTGACCATTTCCTGTCTGGTGCTGTGCATTTGCAGTGCAGAAATAGCTGTACTCTGCACAGAGGGCAGAAAAGGCTAGATGAACCTGACCTGGTCCCCTTGAAGACGGCACTGAGCTGGTTGTCTTCATTTGTCAGTAGCTCCTCCTGCAGTCAGAGGCCCAAGGAAAGAGACATACTCACCACTGCAGGGACAGAAATACAAATGTGGTGTGGAGTCAGCCCCCATGGTTTCTGAAGGCCAGGGCTCAGTTCTCACACTGTTCTCACCTTGTCAGTTCAGTTCATCACACTGAAGTAACCATGGCCTGAAGAACTCTTGGTATATTTTAAGTTATTGTATCTACTATGAAAAACAAAGCATGGAACTCACTAGCAAAGAAGGCCATGTCAGGGTGGGTGGAGGCTACTAAAGTGACCTGGTGCAGGAGCACTGAAGACCTGACCAGAAGTGACGAGCTCTGCACACTGAGGCTGTGAGGACAGAGGGAAGGGGATATGAGGGCACCTGCAGCTGCTCACTGGGTGCCCCAGTTCTGCCATATCTCAGCTCTGAAGCTAGGCAATATTAGAATTAGCTGAGAGGTTTTGCTGGACTGTGCCCATTCACATGTTATTTTATCTTAATGAGGGATCTCTAGAGGAACAGGGAAAGTAATGAGGTCACAAGGTGTACTGGTTCATTTTCTGTTACTATAACAAAATACTTGTGGTATATGACAGATAAAGAGGTTTGTTTAGCTCCCAGTTTTGGAGATTTAAAAGCCCAAGATCTGATGAACTCCATCTGTTCTCTTCCCTCACTAAAAGCTAGTCTTCTGCCTACATTAGGACATAGTAGGTGACATCATGGTGACGGCCTGGTCAGAGCGAGAGAGCACTCACATTATGAGACATAAAATGAGAGATTCAGGCTTGCTCTTCTAGTAACAACTCACTCTAGTGGGAGCTAAGCAGGGCCCATGTAAGGAGAACATCATTAATTCTTCCCAATGCCAGTGCCCCTAATTGCCCCAGCCACCACCTAGAAGGCCCAGGGTCTTAAATGATCAAATGACTTCTCAACTTCACCCCACTGGGAGGAAGCCTCTAGCACATGAGCCTTTGGGGGACACACTGACACCACATCCAAACCTTAGCAAGGGAACACAGGATGCCACTCAGACTGCTACCAGATCCAGGGTCATGGGGCTCCTCTCCAGGGCCTTGACACCCTGAACAAAGACTTGGACAAGATGCATACAAAAGGCAGCTTCTACTGTGTACATCTACGGAAGGCAGAATACAGGTACGCTCTGTAGGGGGAGAGTGGGCTGGTGGGCAGCCTTATGGCAGTCCAAGGATAAGGGAAAGGACTCTTTTGTATCCAAACTTCCTGGCTTGGCTTCCCCCACATGCAGATAACACACTGGGACAGTTGCCCTGTCACAAACTCATTTTGATGCCAGATTTAACCTGTCCTATGAAAAGACCTGCTCAGTTTCCCACCAGATGCAGGACTTTTCTGATTAGTCCCACCAGCAGCATCAGATTCAAATGAGGGACTAAAAAAAAGTGGTTAATATTGGTTCGTTGGATAGTGTTTAAGGGCTGAGTCACTGGGAGCCGTGTTCCGCACCAGCCCTCTGGCTTCTTTGACCTCTGCGCACTCCCTCCATGACCGGCGCAGCCCCCCAATGAGACAGAGGACACTCGTGGGTAACAGGTAACTGCCGCTTTATTGACGCGGGCTCTGGTTTATATATTTGGCCGTGACCAATCACAGGCTGCCACGAGGGCTGCCATGAGCAAGCAGGGCTGGAATGGGATGCAGGCTCTGGCTAATATACCCAGCTGTGGCCAATCAGGGGTTGCCACAGAGTCGGCACGGGGCGAGTACGGAGTGAGCACGAGGTGCGCACCGGGTGGCTAGTTTGAAGAGGGGCCTAGCGCATTGTGGAAGCTGATGTGGTCTTATCGTCCGGGCAGGGTGTGTTGAGCGCCTGCGCCCAACACCTCCAGTTGGTTGTCTGGTTTGCCCCAGCCGTCATCTGCCTCATCATCATTTTGATCACAACTCATAGTTCAAAAGCAGGCTTTACACTCCAAAGACTGGACTGTGTCCTTGGCACTGGTATCCAATTGAGCCTCCTTTTTGCCCTCTAATACCTGTAGCAGGTGCCCAATGCTAACCTCACCAGGGACTCCCCTACAGGATGCCGGCTTCTTGCCTGCATGGTGCTAGCTCCAAAGGAGGAGGAGATGTTGAAAGAGTCTGAGTATTTTCCCCTTTTTTCAAAACTAACTTTCAATAACAAGTTAATACTGCTTTTGTAATAGAAAAACAGACAATATGAACATGTAACTCTAAACTTAGAAATAATGTTTCTGGTTGAGGGCAGCTTTGACTCCCGCAGTGGGATGCGGGGCCCTGTAGACTGCACTGCTCACTCCCAGCCACCCTTTCACATGAGTGTGCAAGAACAAGAGCAGCACGGGAGTCTAAGGGCAACCTTTCCTTCCATAGGGAGAACCGTCCCATCGCAAAGCCCACACGTTCATGCCTGATCTTCACAAGCCAAAACAAAATAAATATGCAGGAATAAAACAGCTTAATTTGTACAAGAAAGCTGAAGTGATACACTGATACCAAATAAACACTAGGCTACTCAGAATTCTGACGTGATCTGACCTCACCCAGTAATTTGATATTCCTGCAGTGATGATCTAGTGGGCCAGGGAGGAGTAGAGAGCTCATTTCTGCTGAGTGTCTGTACAGGCCAAGCACTTTGACTTAGTGTATTTCCCTAATCCTCATAATGACCCTGACAGGTAGGCAGTGCGAGTTCTGATTTATAGGAGAGGAAGCTGAAGCTCATGAAGGTAAATACCATGCCTAAGCACTTAGCACAGCACACGGCACACAGTAAACACTGAATGAATACCGTGTGAATGGATGGCAGGTCATGTAACTAATACGAAGAGCCAGGGTTCGGACCTGCTCCGTCTTGTTGCCGAGCTCACATTACTTCCAGCATGGTCACTGTCCTCCAGGACAGATGGTGCAGAACTGTCTGAAACTGCTAAAGAGATTACTGTCAATGTTAACCTGGGTAACATGTCTAGCAGCACATGATTTCCACCTTCAGATCAGAGCTATCTCCATTTCAAAATATGGGCTTGTGAAAGGATGAAAAAAGAAAAAACAAAAGGATTTTAAAGGACTTTTATAATTACTTAACATTCATAGTACAAGAAAATAAAAATCCATATATGGAACCATAATACACATATGTAACAGTTTCTTAGTTCAATATAACTCATCCCTTTTTTGTTGACCCCTGCAGCTTCTTTAAAACATTCTCTATGCAAACACCATCCCAAACATGTTTCTCTAATTTTACGAATGTTAGGCATTAGGCTTTTGTTCTTTGTTCCACACTTACATCAAAAACATTATTGGAAAATGCTAAAATAAATTAGAATGTGGCATTCTTTTTTAGCTATTTTGCATTCTATGTTAAAACACTTTACAACTACAAAGCTTGAAAAAATAATTTTACTTTTTTTCTGTGTATGATTGCTTGTCTACTACAAATGAACTACCTATCGAATTAAAGCATTTTATTATTCCAAAAATGTAAGGGAAGTATAAATATACGAACTTCAAAATGATTAACTTGTAGATACACGTTAAGATATTACAGACTCAGCATATTTAGTATTTACCAGGCAGAGAAAAAGAGTTAAGTTTTACTCTGTATTTGGCTACTATATCTTCCAGACAACTACTTATTTACCATTATTTTTCAAAGCATTATTGTTGGGAGCTTTTTATGGGGGAAAGGGTTTATAAAATCATGACCTTCCTCATCCAAAATCAAACAGAAGTGAAGGCTTCCAGTTGTATATCACAAAAGATGGTGGCTGGGAACAAAGGCTGTAACCAAAATGTCACAGGGCCATTAAAATGGAAAGGGCCTTTGCTTCATTTGAGATTTAGCATCTGATAATCTCATTCGATAAATCTAACTCGGTGTTCCTTCTCATTATGTTTAGCCACAAATTTGGCTGTGTATTTTAACAATTTTCATTTTACTCAGATATTAACAGAAAAATCACAGGGTTCTAAAGACAGGCTAATACCTGCTGAACTTAGGTTGAGAACCAGTCAGGAGGAAATACTCACTGTTCGGGTAAGCAAATTTCTAGAGATTCAAAATATTACAAGGCAAGTTCTTTAAAAAAAAAAAAACACTCTGACTAGAAAACATTTTTAAAATTTAATACAAATTACAAAAAATCTTACCTGAGTGTTAGTAAAACTGTGTATGTGACAAGTTTAACAAGGCAGGCATTCAATGAAAAACAATAAATTTGCTTTTAGTAATCAGAAAAACTTTAAGCCATTCTTCATCTCATATTTTAATCAACTCTTATTAAGGACTGTGGTTTTATTGACTGTTACGTGTGCATCTTTGATGTCCTCTTGCCATCAGAAGAGGCTGATGTGGTCTCTTTCCCGGTTAACCTTCAACACTCTGTACAAAGAGTTCTGAAACACGGTGGTGAAGTACGGCCTTGCATCCTTGAGCAGGCTGCTGCAGAGGGAGGGGTTCGCGGAGTTGGAAGGGTCTTCCAGGTCCCAGATTTCCAGCATACTGCAACCTGGCCTGAGAAGAAAGGATGAAAACATGGCTTCATACACAGAGAAAGCACATAAGTCATAAAGTTTCTCCGAGATTTCTGAAGACTCACTTATTTAACAAAGATTTTAAAATATCATTTAAAAAAAAAAAACTTAGGTTTAACGTTTAGAAATAATAAAAATGAAGTCTTTCCAGGATCCACTTAACCAAATCATGTGACATGTCCAGGTAGTAAAGGCTCAGTGTCCTTTCAGAAATATAAGTGCTTTTCATTTTCAAAATGAAACGTACATTTTCTAAGAATTATCACCATCCAAACATAATGCTACAGTACAGATGTGGAATGGGATGATTAAAGAAAAAACTAATAGAATTCCTAATGAAGTTGACAGTTTTGAGCACAAACTGTCTTCGATTAGTAGGGAAACATACTCTGTAGCAGGGAGAGGAGGTTCTTAGGCCACATTTACTTTGTTCAACCCTCTCTTGTCTGGGGTGGCTCTGGAAACTGAATGAGACGATGTTCTAACTACAGCAGAGCTCTTCACAGAACTCATCAAAGGAAAGGAGCCAGGAAAAATTAATTTTTAATATCTACATTTAGATATAGTTTATGTATTGTAAAATTCATCCATTTCCTGTGTAAGGTTTAAGAATGACCAAGTGTGCATAGATATGTAAACACTGCCCTAGTTGCCATACAAAAAATTTCCATCACTAACAGGTTCCCCTGCATCCTTCCATAATTTCCTTCCCCTAAGACAGCCCTGGGCCAGCACAGATCTCCTTTCTGCCCTACAGAATCCAGAACTCTATACACATGCATTAGGTAAACCTCATTTCCAGTTTCTTTACCTCAACATGTTTTTGGTACATTTTGTCAAGTATGTACCTGTGAAATCATGGCCAAAATTTGAATATATTCATCTCTCCCAAAATTTCACTCATGACTTTTTAAAATCTTACTGCCTGATCCTACGCTGCTGCCCTTCCTGGGCAAACACATACCTGCTTCTTGTCACTACAGATTAGATGCATGTTCTGGGACTGTGGCTTGCTTTCTTTTCTGTCTTGCTTCTTTCCATCAAAACACTGATATGGATATATAGTCATATTATTCTATCAAGAATTCATTCTTTTTCATTGATGAGTAGTACTGCAGTGTCAAAATATCCCAATAATATTTACTCATTTATCTGTCCATAGATACTTGTTTCCAGATTTTGGTTATTGCAAAACTGAGCTGCTGTGAACATCTGTGAACAATTGTTGGTATAAATTATGCTTTCTGTGATCCTCTATAAATGCACACACTAAGTGTATGTTTGATTTTTTTAGAGAACTGCTGAACTCTCTCACAAAGTGGTTGCACCATGTTACATTCCCATAACCATGAGAGATGCAGGTCTCCACAGTGTCTGCAACACTTCAGGGTCTTTTTTTTTTTAATTTAGTAAATGTATTATGTATTTAAGAGTATCTAATTCTAATTTAATTGGGTTGTTTCTAAGTTTTGAGATTTCTCTACACATCTAAAATTCTTCATTGGACATAGGCTTTGAAAATATGTTCTTCCAACTGTAAGTGATTTTTAAATTACTCCTGATATATTTTATAGAAGACTAGAAGTTTGTAGTTAAAATGGCCTCTTACCAGTGGGTTCTGTCACAGTCCTGATTATGGTATTGAATCTAAGACATCTTTCCCTAATAAAAGCTCACAATGACTTTCTTCCATGTTTTCTTCTATAACTTTTATATTTTTACATTTACAGTTTATATTTTTACATTTACAGTTCTATGATCCATGATTAGTTATTTTATAGGTGAAGTTCATTTCTTCCATAAACACCCCTCTTTAAGCACTACTTGTTGAAAAGCCTCATTTTTTTCCCTACAGAAATGCTTTTACCCCTTTGTCAAAAATCTGTTGCCCTCATGAACACTTTTTCTGCATGCTCTCATTTCAAGCATACATCTATCCTGACTCCCAAAGCACCGTTGTCTTGGTTATTGTAGCTGTACAATGAGTTTTGAAATCAGCTAATAAAAACTAGAAACCTGTTCTTCTGTTTCAAAGTTGTTTCAGTTCTCCAAGTCCTTTGCATTTTGTCAATGACCTGGAGAAACAGTTTTTCAAGTTTCATTCCTGCGGGCACATTGATTGCACTGAACTGAACCTGTAAAACAATTCAGTGAGAACGGACAACTCAGTGTTCACTATTCAGGCCCCCAACCATGGCACATCTCTTCATTTATTTAGGTATTGTATTTATCTCAACAATGTTTTGCCATTTTTAATGTGCAGGTGCCATACATCATATATTTAATATTCTCATATGATTACAAATATGGTCTAAAATTTCAATTACAAGTTGTTGCTAAGCAGAATTAGAATTGATTTGGTATCCTCTTTGCTTACAAAAGTTATCTAGTATCTCTAATATTTTCTGGTACTTCCACCAGATTACGTACAGATTAAACTGTATCTGAAGAGACAGCTTTACTTCTTCCTAAGTGATATGCCTTTTATTTCTTTTCCGTGCTTTACCCTTTTGATCACATTAATCATACAGTGCTTACGGGCAGTCATAAAGGAGTTCTTGTTCCTGACTTCAGTGAATTGTCTTTGCTTTTGACTGATGTAAATTGTACTTTCTTCATAAATGTTCGTTAGCAGGCTTAGTAAGTTACCTTCTATTTTCAGTTTTTTGGTGACTTTAACATGTATTTTTTACTTAGGCCTGCTTTAATTTCATTATAATCATAGACCATAGTTTGAATGATATGAATCGTTTAAAATTTATTGAGATGTATTTATGCCTAGATGAGGTCTTTCTGCAGTCTATCTACACCTGAGAAGAAAGCCTGCAGTATGTTCTTGGGTGTTGTGTTCTGTAAATGTCAACAAATTCATATTTGTTGATAGCATCATTAAAGTCTCCTGCAGACTTGTTAAATTTCTACTTATTCTGCATATTTCTAAGAGGGCTGTTAAAATTTTTGAGTGTATCATGGATTTATCTTTTTCTTTACAATTCTATCAGGTTTTACTTGATGTATTTAAAATTTGTTTTCTGGTGCATCAGTGTTTAGAGCTGTGATAGTCTCATCAAAAACAGATCCATCTTCATTGTAAATGACTGTGCTTAACCTGGATAATACTCTTTGTACCTGTATGTACTTTATTTCATAAAATTATAGCCAGTCCAGCTCTCCTTGACTACCAGTAGTTACTTATGTCTGTTTTCTGTTAACTTTTAACCTATTCAATTATTTATATTTAAGCAACTTCTTAAAGGTAGTATGTAGCATAGTGTAACTATATTTTGCAGTCTGCCAATTCCTGAATTTTATTAATGACATTCTGTCTTGTATTAGTTTCCAAGTGTTGCTGTGACAAATCATCACAAACTTTGTAATTTAAAGCAAAATACATTTATTCTCTTTAAATTTTTCTGGAGGGAAGAAGTTCACAGTCGCGGTGCTGAAGGGCTCCAGTCCTTGTGGAAACTCCCGCAGAAAGTCCGCTTGCTTGCCTTTCCCACATTCTGCTTCCACAGCCCCATCACCTTCACCTCTGACTCTCATTTTATAAGGATGCTGCACTTCACACTTCTCCTACCTGGTGACCGAGGTGACCTTCACACAAGAGCAGTCATTTAATCAGACCTCCATATGAGTAACATGTCCACAGTTCCTGGGTATTCAGACACCAACATTTAGGAAGGGCTACGTTTAACACAAAAGACTATTTCCATGAGAATGATTACTGATGCTGCTAGGTGTAAATCTGACATGTTGCTTTGCTATTTGTCTCATTTTATCTTTATTCTCCATTTCCACTTTTTCTGCCTTTATATTAAATAACCTTTATGATTCCACATTAAACTTGTTTGCTGCCTTGTTAGCTATAATTTATTGTTGTTTTCACTGACTGCACAGTGATTATAGGATATTGTATAGATACTTCCCAAGGATGTTTGGATTTATGGTATTTTGAGTTTATGATGCTGTAAAAAGAGATATACACGCTATAGAATCCATACTTTGATTTCTGACCTTGTCCCAGACTAGTGATTTGTAATTCGGTGTTTTTTTGAGATTGCTGGAAAGGGAAGTTAGCACAGTGGCCAGTCAGCATGCGATGCGAAGGATAAATTAATGGGTCTTCTACCGTGTACTGTGTGCTAAGTTATGACATTCTGTCGGTTACGTGTGTTAAATGTTTTTTCCACTTAGGATAGTTTCAAATTATAATGGGCTTTGGGGGACACAATCCCATCTTAGGTTGAGGAGCATCTGCACTCAGTTGACAGCACTGTTTGATAAACTGTGTTTCATCTTTTTGCATTCCATCACCTTGACAAAACACCCATCTGAGCATGTATATGAGATATTTACCATTTTAAAAAGCTCTTATGTCAAATGATTTAAACAGCTGTAGGTAAATACAATCTTTTCATCATGTTTGACGTAGTTTACACTAAGCTACATTGGGCAACAGTATAGGTATATTACATGTACTTTTAGCTTTCACTGTCAACTTATGATTAGTTTATCAGGATGCAGGTTGAGAAGAATCTGTATGTATGTAATAAAAACGTTATGATTACATATTTCTATTCTCTACCACATAGATACATGCTGTTGCAGTACATTTTAATTAAATGTTATAAATGCCACAATACATTTAATTTCCTTGAATAAGATAACTATCATTTTTTATTTTAAAAACAAAAAATAGAATAAAAATGATACAAAATTTCAAAACAAAATAGGAGCTAAACACTAGTTAATATATTGCATATTGTTATCTTCAAATTATTCAGATTATAAGATATAGGTATGAAAAAGTGATCAAATAATTGAACAATAAAAACACAAACTGTTGTTTTTGATGAACAGATAGTACAGTTATCTATGAATACAGATATAGATATCGATACACACACATACATAATCTTTTTCCTTCTTTTCTGCTTTCTCCTGTGCCAGTTGTTCTGAGTAGTTTCTTTCCCTTACCCTTTCATAGTATCTATCGTACATTTTGGATCTTATTTACTCTTTCAAATGTTTACACTAGGGGGAAAAAGATATTTACACGTGAGTCTGATTTATTTCACTTACGAGTATGGTCTCAAGCTGCATCCATTTTCCTATGGTTTTAACCTTGGTTTTATCCTTTGTAGCCGAGTAGCACTCTATCATATAAAAATAACACACCTTTTTATCCATCCCATGGTTAATGGGAATTTGGGTTGTTTCCAAGATTTAGCTATTACAAATTGTGCTGCTAAGCATGTGGGTGTGCATATATCATTGTGGCGTGATGTCTTCAATTCTTCTGTGAAAATACCCATAAGAGGAATAGCTGGGAACTCAAAACCTAGTTTTTATAGAAATCTCCACACCGATTTCCAGAGTGTTGGCACCAATCTACACTTCCATCAACAGTGGAGAAAGGTTTCTTTTTCTCCACAGCCTCACCAGCATTTGTTACTGGTTCATTTTTTGATGATAATAATTCTTTCTGGAGTGAGACGGAATTTTAGTATTGTTTTAATTTGCATTTATCCAGTGACAAGTTATGTTGAATATTTTTTCATATATTTATTTTCCATTTGTAGTTCTTCATCTGAGAAGTGCATGTTTATCTCAGGTACCCATTTTTGGATTGGGTCTTTGAATTTAGAGGGCCTGATTTTTTTCAGTTCTTTACATGTTCTAAATGTAAGTCCTTTGTCTGAAGGACAGTTAGTAAAATTTCTTACTATTTTGTGAGTTTTCTTTTCACTCTATTGGTGATTTCTTTTGATGTGCAAAAACTTAGTAAGTTGAAATCTTAGTTGTCAATTCTTTGAAGTACTTCCCATGCAGTTTGTTTTATGAATTCTTTGCCTACTCCTATGTTTTCAAGATTTCTACTTACATTGTCTTCCAGTAGACTTAGCATTTCTGTTTTAGTATTTAGATCTTTGATCCATTTTTACTTTATTTTGTACTTGGTGATAGACATGGGTCTAATTTTAGTTTTCAGCATGTGAAAGTCAATTTTTCCAGCACCATTTATAAAAGACGCTTTTCTTTCTTCTAGTGAACATATTTGGCCCTTCTGACAACATAAGGTAGCCGAGTGTCTTTGTAGTTTTGCCTGCATCTTCTAATCTCCTGCACTGATCCTGAGGTCTGTTTTTGTCAGTACCATGCTGATTTTTATCACAGTAGCTTTGTAGTATAATTTCAAGTCAGGGATCATGATTTCCCATCTTTCCTCTGTTTCCCAGGGTTGCCTTTGCTATTCTAGGTCTCTATCATTTTCAAATGAATTTTAGGAATTTTTTCTAGCAGATGATTATCTTTTGTAAGACTTATGCAAGGAAAAACCCTTCTAATACTGGCTAATGTGGTGCCATTTGCATGGCTATTCATGCCTTCATGTTTATCCATGTTTCTATATTGTGTCACTTTCTTTCTGCCTAAGACTTCAGTTTCCATGTCTTGTAGTGCAGGTCTGCTGCTGATAACTTTTTTTCAGCACTAGTATGCTAAGAAAAGTCTATTTTACCTTCAGTGTTAAGATATACTTCAACCCCATAAAGAATTACAAACAGCTTATCTTTGTTTTAGTTCTTTAAAGACTAGCCTTTTTTTTTTAACTGTTTCGTAGCAGAAATACGCTAGTAACTCTGTATCTGTTCCATTGTCTATACACTGTTTTTTTGTTTGTTTGTTTGTTTTTGGTTCCTTGAAGATTTTTCTTTTAATCCCTGATTTGAGAAACTTAATTATTATGTTTCTTAGTATAGGTTTTTTCACATTTCTTGGCTCTAGGATTTATGGCCTTTTTTAGACCTGTATGACTATAGCTTTTGGAATTTGGGGAAAATTTACACAATTACTATTTCAAATATTCACCTCCCCTCATTTTACAGGAGCTCCTCTGTTACAGGTATACTAAATTGCCTGAATTTATCCCTTAGATCACTACTACCTACTACTATTTCACCTTCAAGTTCACCAACATTTCCTTCTTCCACATCTTATCTGTCATTAGTATCTGTCATTACATTTATCCAGTATATTTTGCATCTCAGGTTTTTCATAATCAGATGATCAGTATGGCTCTTTAAAAATGTTTTCCATATTTCATCTCTTTTTGGCCATATGGAATGCAATTAATTTAACTGGTCTAATGTTCTTGTCTGCTAACTCTAGCATCAAAAACGTATTTTTAAATTACATTCTACTTAAGAGACAGTATAATCTTACTTATCTAATTTACTTATCTTTTTTAGCTAAAATAGCAGATTAATAATTTAATGAAATTCATTGAAAACAGAAAGTTTTGAAAAATCAGGATTATTGTAACAGAGTAAAACATTTGTTGCTTTAAAATTTGACACATGATATAGCACAGTGTTAACACTCACCTGGTTCTCCAAAGACACCATGCTTCTTCTAAAACATAATAATTCACATGTAATGCCAACAATTTATTTCTCACTTCTTTTGCAGATTTTCGACTATACACTGAATAAACTATTTTTGTCCGGGCCCTTTAAATTGAAATAGTAATAATTACAAGAAGAATTTTGAATAAATGATAATGAACTAAAGAAAACTTCTAGCAACTTGAAATTAGAACTCCTACTGGATGGAGTACTGATACACAAGAAAATAACATAAGAGATAGCCCTTTGGACATTCCTCCCTCGATTTTGAACATGCCAAAATTTAGAGCACTTTGAATATTGCACATTCTGCTTGTTAGCATACAGCCTCATCTGTAATTGTACTAGGTAGCAGAATAAGAGCTCAGGATATAACCTGTGCTTCACATAATCCACTAAATTATTAATCTGCACATGGAGTATATCCTGATAAGACTGAACATAGTGAAAGACAAACTTCTGTAAAGAATTTCATCTATAGAAATTCAGAAAAAGGGATGAGCTAAAGTTAAATAAATCAAATACAACATGTATACAGTGAACAGCTAGGATGTGGAACAGGTTAAAAAAGCACCTCACAGTGCTGGGAGGAGGCTCAGCAGGAGATATTTGCCTAGCATGGAAAAGGCCCTAGGCTCAAGCCCAAGCACTGCCAAAAAAAAACAAAAGAAAGAAAACTTTTTGGAGGTTTGACAAAATATGTACATAAAAAGGAAATGCACCTTACAGAATCACGGGTGCTCACTAAGCTATGTACAGAAATGCTTTGGTCTTAAGCCAGAATTCTTATGAAATCTTGAATAAATGATCACTTGTACATTAAATGTTACTTAGGATTTGGAGCAGTATGGGATGCCTAGTCACCAAAACCATACATAAAACTTTGAAATAATTTACCTCTAACAGCAGATCTAAAAAGGAAAAGATTATGCTGACAATTAACAGAGTGATCAAAATAAGTTTTAAAAAGCAGCTAAGTAAAGAGAAAACTTTTGGCCCTCAATATAAAGTACAGCTTTCACATTCAGCTAGCAAAATTCCCTAAATCTTCATCAAAGCATGCCATATGGCAAATTTCATATACTGTTTTTTTCCTGTTTCAAAAAGCCATTGGGCAGCAGTAGGATCTGGTCCGTTGCTTCCAATAGGCAAAGGCCCTTGTGGAGTTTACAGCATAGGCTATGAGTCACCCAGCCACCTCCTATTTCTACTTAGGAATTTTCCTGTAACAGTTCCCCCAGTCCCGTGCCTCTCGGTGCATATATAAGACACATTTTTCACTAAGCAAAGCAAGTTTTCCTTTTTCTTTTCCGAGATTTATTAAAACCGCTTCAAAGGAAAGAGGCTTATACTGTCATTTCTGGGTGATTACTACAGACTTTTTCAACCTTCAAAGATGAGTGCAAGGATGTGTGAGTGTGCATGTGTATGTGTGAGTGTGTGTGAGACAGTGTATGTGTATGTGAGTGTGTGAGACAGACAGTAAGTGTGTGTGAGAGAGACAGTATGTGTGTGAGTGTGTGTGTGACTGTGTGTGAGAGAAAGACAGTGTGTGTGTGTATGTGTGTGTGTGTGTGTGTGTGTGTGTGTGTGTGTGTGTGAGATAGAGAGTGTGTATGTGAGTGTGTGTAAAAACCTCCCTGTTCCTGAGAACCAGCAGCAGGCAGAGCATGAGTCAGGGTGAGACGGCCAGTGGTTGCCAACCTCAAGTCTGCATCCTCGTAGTGTGGGTGGTTCACAATGGGGTGCAGTGTGGACAGCTTGACACTCGCCATTGTCTGCATGGTGCCTGCAAAAACAGCATCTGAAAAACACAAAAACCAAAAGTTAAACTTATAGTATTTGAATTCAAGTAAGAAAGAATGATGAAGCACACGTAAATAATAACCACAGGGGTTTGGACGAAGGTCAGTGGTAGAGCCCTTGTGTGGCATACAAGTGCTTTGGAACGCCTTGGATTCATCCCCGGAAAATAATGATTGACATCATTCTTTCTATTCACCCAGGACTTACTCATCGCCTGCTATCCTAATAGCTAACTTTTGCTACACTGACATCAGGGACTATGCTCAATATTTTCATAAGGATTAAGTGATTCCACTTGCACACTTCTGTGAGGAGAGCTACACTTCCCTTGCTGTGTAGGTGAAGAAACAGCAAAGTGAAGTGAGTCACCAAGACTGCACAGATAAGGGTGCACAGCTCAGTCTCTTGGCCCCTTGATGCCAGCCTCCTATTGTGTCAGCAACACACAGGAGTAGAGAGAAGAGATGTTTCATAGCTTGCGAGGGTAAAGCATTTCCAGTGCTAGGAAATGAGAGACTACGATACAAGGCAAGTCTCATGGTGCATTTTCTCAAACGACCCTGTGTGTTGTGAAGAATATGGTCTTGTGGCTGTACCCCAGGAGAACACTGTGATCTCCCTTCAGATGGTCTGAAAGTACTCATCACTGTGTTCTCTTAGTTTCTGTCTGAGTCATCAAGTCAGTTTATTACTTACTAGTGGTGGTTTTGAGTGGCACATATGTATTTGGTCATAAATAGGAATATATCAAAATCTACCACTTGACGACATTTCACTTTTGTTTATTGTAGACCAAAAGACCAAATGCTTACTTTCTGACATTTTTGTATGATAAATGTTCATGTAATTAGGAAACATATGATCATTTTTATCAGCACATTAAAATTGGTGATAAAACAAAGTATGTTATTCAGGTCTCCTAAAACAACTGAATGCTTATTTTCAAGTATCACTAAATATTCTTAATGCTAACTTTGAAGGAAAACAAAATACAGGATCTGTGAAATGCTAGCAAGACAGTATCATAACAGACTGTTAGGCCTAGACTAGGAAATATCATCATCCAAACTGAAGCACAGTGTGCCCTTAATGTGTATTGCTTCCACCCCACTGTAGTCAAGAAGGTGAAAGTTAACTCCTGTGAATCTAACTACACACAGACACACATACACATGCATACACACACTCATACACACATTTATATGCTAAATGGTTAGAACTACACATATGTATGCATAAAACTAAAGAGCTGCATACCTGGTCTGGTATTGTAATTGATCCATTGTATAAGTTCTTCCTGAGGCATATTAGTAAACTCTCCTCTTATGCTCCACTGACTATGTATGTTTGCACAACCTTGTATTGACATCATTGTTAGAATGCCAAAGACAACACTCTCAAAACGAAATCTGCGAAAAAGCCGGCCAAAGAACTGAAATAGATAAAAAATTATTTATAATTCTTATGCAAAGAATATGATAAAGTCACATATAAACACCTCCTACTAAAGCCAAGGCTATTGTTTTGTTATCAGCAAACCAAACATTAATTAGTATCACCTATTGCTTAAGAACAACAAATATGTTTGGATTACTGGGCCCAGGTGAAATGGAGCTTTCTCTCCTCTCAAAATTATTACATAAGGAATATCTAATCCTTCTAGCACCAATTTACAATGAGTGGATAAGATTAGCATATTATAATTGTTAAATACCTCAGAACTAATCCTTCAACATGTGGGTGCCTTTTATGAACATTTTGACTAACTAGGAAAAAAAATCTATTAGCACTGATATGTGTATTTCCTCTCAGGAAAATAGGCATGTGATATTTTCAGACATTGTGTTACCTCTATAGGCGCCTAATAAAAATTTAGGTGCCTATAGAGGTAACACAATTCTAGCTAATTTATCTAGCTATTTTGTACACAGTAAGAGAATCACAGAATTGACAGCTTGCCTTAGGATCCTCTAACTGCAGAGTAATTCCTCAGCATCTGCTTAGTACTGAACAAATACCACAAGGTGGCTCTGGAGGTTTGGAGACTGCATTTAATGACAGGACATGCACAGAGGGGAAAGTGTCTCTTCACTTGTCATAGAAACACTGGTTACACTCTAGGAATTCTTTTCAAAGCCATCTGACATCATGTTACATACTCAATAGTGAGTCATGAACTGCCATTTTAAATAATTTAGGTTAGCTAACTTAAAAACACTCAGTACTCTAATGTTTTGGAATACTCAGCAAAGCCCCGGCAACCATATTATATTCGCTAAGTTATCATAGCCCAGTTGTACAACAGTGGACACCTCACCTGTCGAGAGCAGATCAAGGAAGCCATAACACACATGTGCGGGGTCAAAAACAGCTTCAGCTTCAAAATCAAAATGGCAAGGACTGAAAATGCTAACAACTGCAATGTGTGAAAAACCAGCTATAAAGATACAAAACAAAATGACACTTTTATGTGTTTTACAGTAAATAAGTATGTACGTGAAACTATTATTATTCATTAGGCAAGAGAGCTAACATATTACTATGCCTATCAGCTATTATTCATTCAACAAAGATCCACTGAATGTCCATGATATCAGATACAAGTCTTGGCATCTTTTCCCCCTGTGAGGCTGAGACAGCACATTTAGAAAGGACTGGCAACAAGCAGACACAGCAAACAGCCCAGGACAGAGTGGTGAGAGCATGGCCGAGAACCTGGGGCAGGAGAAAGAGCCCAGCACCGCAGGACATAATCCTGGCCACAGGCAGGGGTTGTAGTGTGACTGTCTCCATGGACTGCACTGAAAAGGTGACATCTGGGCAAGGATTTGCACAATGTAAGAGGTAAGCTTAGGGACAGACATAGGGAAGGACTGCTGTGTCATAAATGGTCACTCAGTCAATAACAATGACAGCAGCATAGGAAGTGCCCATTTTAAAAGGAGTAGGACATAAGTATAAATACACTTATATACACTATATATACAAAGTATAGAAAGGGTACACTACTTTGATCTAAGTGACAACTCTACTGAGCAAAGGTTTCAAAGAAAACTTCTGACAGTCATAAAATGCTCTTTAGAAAAAGGAATGAATAAGAGCAATAACTAATGCAATGAAAGGCAGACAGGAACTAAATATGTTCTGATTCACTAATATTCAAATTAAATGTTAAAAATAATGATATATTTCCGTTTATAAAGTTGACTGTGTGTTAGGGAGAATGCAACAAAACAAATACTGAAATAAAGTCGGTACATTTTCATTTTTAAAGTTATCAGGGCCTAGGAAAGAGCCAACTCCAACTTAAACTGCCATTCTAGGAACTTATCTAAGAGAAGAAATGTGCTACAAAAGATGATCACTGAAGAGTATTTTCAACAGCAAAAAAAGCAAACAAGTGACAAATAAACAGGAATGAGAAACCAACTGCTACATCTCTACAGGTACACAGCCATAGTAAAATGACATAGTGAAAGATGAAATGGAAAAGTTTCTAGGACATAAAACTGCATACTATAGGTTACTAATTCTGTTTTGTAAAAATCATGAAAATACCTGTACACACACACACACACACACACACACACACACACACACGGCGTGGTGTAGGGCAGGATGTTGTAGGAAAACATACAAAAGTAAACAGATTGATATTATTTCTGAATGGTAACTGTTCTGTTTTCCAAACTGGCTTCCAAATCCCTACTGTTCAAATGTGAGAGCAGACTGCAGAGAAGGCTCAGCAGAAATGCATTACCAGTGCCCAGAAGCTCAAGCAAGGTAGCACCCTAGTAAGTGATCTTTGAACTAGAATTTAACAGTAGCCTCCCAGAGAGTAAAATGAGGAAACCTTTACCTCACCATGTTCAAGGAGCTGTTTTCTGGAATAAAACAAAAATATTATCTATTTACTGAATGCTCATCACAGTACGATTATGTAAGATAGCTTCATTTATTCTTACATTTTCGATACTTGATTTTCTTTAAACGAGTTAGCAGCATAAATAAAAATAAAGATTAGATAACACTACTAAAATTTTCATTAATTTAAAAGGCATAATTTACAGTCATCCTTTATAAGGTTTATCCAAAAGTTATTCTTTGCTTAAGATAAATTGGGTTTTACTGATTCCTATAGGTATTATTGTAACTCTGGAGGGATAAATGAATAGAAAAGCTTTCTATTACATATTCAAGATATGGACAATAAATATAATACTTTAGATAATTACTGCTGTCCTTTTCATTTTTCATAATTATGAACCACATGAACATTCTTGTACATATATCTTTATATATCTGAATATTTCCTTAAGATAAAGTTCTACAAGAAAAATTACTGGATAAACAACTTGATTTTTAGTTCCAGAAAAGTAATCCTGGTTTACTATTTAAACCACTGTGTAGGGAGTATAGGAATAAGATAGATATCATTCTTACCCGCATAGAACTTATGCTAGATTCACAAAAGAAGTAAGAGACTATACATTTTATTGTCTCACTGGGTTGTTTTTTCTTTTTTTTAAATTTTATTTAAGGAGAAAAAGAAAAAAAGCAGAGAAAGGGTACAAGTTTTACAGATTTACAGAAAAAAATAAACAGTAGGAAATCACTAGTTAATGGATTACATATTGTCATCTTAGAAATAATTGTTCAAGCCACAAAACTAAAGCTCACAAAGTGGACATTCCAACAGTGAGACTGCAAATACTTCTGTTCAATGATCGAACAAAACTCAGTAATATCATTATCTATCTTATACACTTAAATATACATGCAGTTATATCGTTTAGAGCACTTTCTTTTCCTCTCTTTTGTACAATGACAATTACACATTTTGGGTTTTGTTGCTCCCACAGTTCTTATTACTTTTTTGGAAGAGAGTAGAACCAATGTGACATAACAGAACAGAGTCAGTCAAATCAAAAGGGTGGACATAATAGATAATGTAAAAACATAATACAAGGTGATCAACAATTGTTACCATGATGCCTCCCGCTATCTCAAAAAGAATTGCCTATATCATCAGTTATAATAAAATTGAACAAAACAATAAAGAATGAAACCAAGAAAACCAAAACATTGGAGACATTACAGGTCTTCAAAAGTAGATAATAGTCAACCAGAATGGGTGTCATAATGAATCCCACTATCTTCACAGCTGTTGCCTAAACTTTCGAACCTGGTACTATCAAGCAAAACAGAATAGAGGAACATCAGGCAAAACAAGATGGTGAGAGCAATACAGGGCTTTAAATCAAGATAATGGAAAGTCAAAGTGGGTTACTATAATATATCCTTCTGTTTTTTAATTTATTTTTCCCTTAATTAAAAGGATAAAAATAAAAAGTAAATAATAAAATGGAGACTGAGATAAAAGAAGGCATAACAGCAAAACAGCGCAGATCAAAACATAACCATTTAAGCAAAATAGTGTTTCACCACAAGATAATCCCGACATAAAAGTAGTTACCATATTGTCTCTTTCCTTGAAATCTTTGAGTATAACTTCGTATACTGTAGCATCAAATATATCAAAACAATGTAAAACCATTTAAGAGAATGACAGTATTACAGGGTATTTAGAATCAACTAACAGAAAATGAACAATGGTTTCTGTATAATCTCCTTGTCTATAAAAGTTTTTGCTTATACTATCATATAATAAAATCCAATAAGATACAACCTGTTTAGACCAATGGAGACAGAAGAACAAAAGCTTGATGAGACTTCAAAACCAGATGATACTAAATCAGTATTACCTATTAAGACATCATTTTCTCCAAAATAGCTGTTCCTATCATCCAATCTTCTCTGCCTCATTTCTGTTGAGCTCTTTTTCTGTCATTAGTTGTCAGTTTGTCTTCTTCATTTTGTTTTCTGCTCCATTCATTGTGGCCTCTCTGCCACTATTTCTGGATTCTTCATATTTTTCTTTTTTAGAATATCCTGCAATATTCTGTGTAGAGTTGAATTGGTGGTTTCATATTCCCCTAGTTCCTCTTTATCCTGGAAGCACCTTGTTTTTCCATCAATTTCCAGGGATAGCTGTGCAGGATATATCAATCTTGGCTGGAGATTATCTTTCCAAGCTTGAATTATTTCCCCCCACACTCTTCGTGATTTGATGGTTTGTGCCGAGAAATCTGCTGTAATTCTGATGGGTGTTCCCTTGTAAGTGATCTGTTTCTTGTCTCTGACGGCTTTTAATATTCTGTTCTTGTATTGGATTTCTGGAATTTTAATTATTATATGCCTGGGTGTTGCTCTGTTTGGGTTGCAGGTGGCTGGGGTCCTGTATGCTTCATACAACTGAGTATCTTTACCTTTTGCTAAATTAGGAAAATTCTCCTGGATTATTTCTGTGAGTAGCTTTTGTAGTTCATCTGTTTGTGTACCTACTTCTTCTTTTATGTTCTTAATTCTTAAGTTATAGATCCTCTTATCATCTTCTAGTCTTTGTATTATTGCTGTTTGTTTCTTTGATATTTTTAAGAAGTTTTTCATTTCATGCTCCCATATTACAAATCTGCCCTCCAGTTCAGATAATCTGTCCTTAGTTTCTTTCAAGCTGTTATGCCAGTTTTCGATAGAGTTTTTAGTTGCCTGGTAATCTCTTTGAACCTGCTTCATGTATTCTATGTTTTCTCTATTTTCTTCATCAAACAATTCACCCCTCTTTTTCTGTTCTTCCATTCCACCATCTGTTTTTCCTTGGGTGGTGCTTAGCATTTCTCTAACTATTCTGCTTATGCCTAGCTTCAGGTCATTAATAACTTCATTCATGAACTTGTCTATGAGGCTCTGGAGATAGTGCTTTATATCTATTGGTGCTGTGCCTGCTATTGCCTGTTTCTCAGGATTGGGGGCCGAGGAGCCTTTCTTGTTGCTGCCTCTTCCCATATTCTTTGTTCCTTATATATGCAAGCGTATATAGGAGGCCCAGCTTCCTTCCCTGTCGGCCACAGTCTGATTGAATTGCGAAGGCTGGGTGTTCCCGCCCACTGCAGCGCACCAGGAAGTTGCAGACCAGGCAGCCTATGAGGGGCCCGCCCCTCCAGGTCAATCTACCTTCAGGCGCTGGGACCTGGGTTGTGCTAGCCTACTGGGTCTCAGCCAGCAGCGTCATGTAGGCTAGGCACTGCTCACCAATCCCGCTTGAGAGGGGGATACGTGACTGAAGTCACTACAGCGCCCTGTTCCCGCAAGTCTGCCCGGTCCCAGAATGTCCTCTGTCGGAGTCTTCTAGACTGTGGAAGAGTCCCAGTTTCTCTCATTCACCGCAAGTCAATACACAGCTCCCCGCCTGTCCTGCTTTCAACTCCATTCACTGATTCCCGTTCTCAGCTTTCACGCGTCTCTCTCTCTCTGCCGAGCCAATTCAGACGCAGCAGCGGCGGCGGGAAACCCAAATTGTGGCTTCCAATGGCATGGGCTCCAGCTTCCACGCTGAGGCTTTTCTGTTCCTATTATAGCACCAGGATTGCATTCCCAGTTGGTTTCTCTCAGCCCAGTTTGTTCTTGAGTCAGCAGGGCATATCTCCACTTGCTTATGATTTCTTACTCCACACCATTCCTGAATTCTAAGCTGGGTCTTTCAGAGAGCCTTCATAGCTGCTGCTATCTGTCCACCATGTTCTCCCGGAAGTCCTCACTGGGTATTTTATAAAAGTTTTTACAAGGTGCAAGAACCTTCTGATATGAATTTGGAGGTAGGAAAAAGAAGTAATATGTGTTCAAAACAAATCCAGGGGCACAAAGACCTGAAGATTTAAGTAAGAGTCACTGGGGGAGTTCTCCTGAGACAGCAGCAGAGTTACCACACTACTCTGGCTCTGAAGTAGCTCCTTGCCTAAAGTACAACCAAGTGAAAGAGGTCTCCCCAATGTCCAGAAAGCTTTCAGTCACAGCACAACTCTGCAGTGAGTGGCTGGCTACATCCATGAAAGAAGTTCTGGAGGGGAGTAACTACTATAAATGTCTAGGATGCCCCACCATATATACTGATAGAAATAAATTTAACAGCTGATTCCAGATGTGCATATTCAGGATGAAAATAGCAAGAAATTTAAACACCGGACTGAAGAAGTAAAAATTCTGCCCTTTCAGGAAACAGGATTAATGCAACAAATAAAAGAGTATTAAATGAAAATTCCAATTATTATACTCAGTTAAATTTGAAAGGATAACACATTCATACAATTAGATAAGCTACAATGAAAAGGTGCTGGCAAAAATTATGAGGAAAACATTTATATAATTCAAAATAAGGTTTAAAAAACAGGAATGTACACAGTTGAAGCTGGTAATTTAAAACTCAGCCACGGGATTCTGAGAACATAGATAAAATAGGTAATATGATAAAAGCAATAATAAAGTTAAAGAAAGGCTAAGCCAGAAAAGAAAAAAAAATCCTCATGCTGAAAACAGATTTGAATGCTCAAATTACATTATCCTAAGCAATAAACTTCTAACTCTCTCCTTCTCTTACGCACATACATACACCTCTCCAAAATGCTGAGTAAAACTCAGACATAGTCACTGAACAACCTTTCAGTTAAACATGTGGGCAAAAATGATAGCACTTCTCAGCTAAGAAAGGACTCAGAAAATATACTATCTCTGTGCTCTAAAATATATCATTCAGAAAATTATAAAATATCAACAAAAGATACTTGGAAGATATATAAATGGAAATATAACCCACCCAAAACAATCCATAAGCTCACCATTGTACCAAAATCTCAATGGCATTTACTGTAGAAATGGGGAAAAAAAACAACTCCACAAAAGTATGAAACACAAAAGACCATGAACAGCCTCATCATGAAAATAAGTCACAAACTTGGTGGTGTAACACTTCCCAACTTCAAAACATATTTCAAAGCTACTTAATCAAAGCAGTAGATCTTGGGCATAAAGTATGACATGCATACTGATGGAAAAGCAGAGAGCAGTCCAGAAATAAACTGATGCTTCTACAGTCAGGTGATCCTTGACCACTGTACCAATGTTACACAAGGAGAAAAGATAATCTCCGGCATATGGTGTTAGGAAAACAATATATACACATACAAACAATAAAACTGAGCCCTTACCTGATCTCACACATAACAATCACCTCAAATTAAAGACTAAGACTTAAGATCGGAAGCTGTGAAACTCCTAGAAGAAAATTTAGAAGAAAACCTTCATGACATTATTTTTGGTGATGTTTCTTGAATATAACACCAAAAACTCAAGGCAATAGGAACATAGATAAAAGGAATGTCATGGTTTACGTCGGTGGATCCCAAGCCTCATGGAATTATGGATGTGACCAAATTGAGCATTGTGATTGGTTTGTTATCTTGTGCTTGAATTGGTAGTGTGTTTCATCTGCCCAGGGGTGGAGCCAGGATATGATGTAATGGCAGGAAGGAAGTGTGTCTCTCTCTCTTTCCAGTTAGTGCCTTGCTATTTGCAGTGGCCATCAATGGCTGCCCTGCCACGCCACACTGTCTTGGAGCCAACTGAATATAGACTAAAACTTCCAAAAACTGTAAGAAATAAACCTTTCCTTCCCTAACTTTGGGCATCAGATATTCTGTCTCAGCACTGAGTAAAAGGTAAGTAAGACATGGAACTACACCAATTTAAAAACCTTCTTTAAAAGTCAAGAAGAAATACAACCAGAAAAGCCATAAAAAGATGCAAAAATCTGAAAAAACTCACAAAATAAAATGGGTTTCTTTTTTACTCAGAAAAGGTTTAAACCTTAATAGTATTGGTGCGCATAGAAATGCATGAAAATGGGCACTTTTACTACTGTAATATCTCAGAATTTACAAAAATACAGAATATTCATACCTTATCATCCAACAGCTCTATTTTATGCTTCATGATTTATAACTGTGCAAAGATATATATGCAAGAATGTTCACCACTCATAATATTGGCTGCTAACCAAAAATGAAATATCATCTAAATATCCTTATGCAAGGAAATGGCTAAATATACGGTGTTCCCACATGCTGAAGAACAGAAGAATGCAAAGACTATTATAAAATATAAAGAAGATATAGGCACAAGCCCACGACACACTGTAAATAAAAATAACAAGTTGCAGAAAGCCCAAGACACACTGTTAAATAAAAATAACAAGTTGCAGAGAAACAAGAACATGATTGCATTAAAGTCTCTTTCTCTATGTGTTTTGTAAAATGATTCCTACAAAGCTGCTTATGATCAGTAACTGTGAGAAGCAAACCGAAGACAGGCGATGCATGCTTTTCTCTGAATAGATAACTGACCTGTGCTTTGGAAGGCCCCCCGCACAGGCACATGCACACACACATACATGCACCTCACTACCACATGCACACATAGGTACACAATCAGTAGGAAAGATTTCTTGCTCTGAGGATCTTCTGTCACTGGCCCATTCTCATTAAACCTCTCAAATATCTGAACCCAGTGTCATGTGCTCAACTTCTGTTATCAAACTGAACACCACAAATTTGTCACATGTTCCTTGTATGACTGTGTGACTATGACTATTCCTTGGGTGCCCTGGCCCCATCTGAGCAAAACCAAGCACAGCGTGTCTGCCATCACCCTTGCTCTGGAAATGACCTCAACAAATGTACATAAGGCTTTAGTCAGCTCTTGTGTGAATCACACAAAACTGATAACTAAAAACAGAAAGTGTGGGGTGTAAGATTCATGAAAACTATGTTCATTATTTTTCTGTAATCTCAATATGTTCTGAAAAATCAAGATCATAAAATAAAATAAAACAGACTCAAATGACATACCACAATTATAAAATGTAGTTTGAGGAAACATTTCTCTCAAAAGGAAGTTGCCTTTACAATTTTGCTTTGTGTGAGACCTTTAGCAATTTATTTCTGTGGATTTATTTCAAACATCATGTTATATTTTGTTGGCATGTGTTTATACCTCTATTCTGGTAACTTCCCTGAAACCACTAAAAACTGTGGTATAAAACAGATTTCATAGTAAATGCAGTTAAAAAAAACCTTTTGTAAATATTTAATAAAACAAATAATGGCCAAAACAAAACTTTAACTTACTTTTGGTTATTGACTTTAAATTCAAGTGATATGTTAAAGTTAAATCAATTTAAATTTTGAGTTATTTCACAAACATAGTATTTCCAGTACAAGTTAAAATACAAAGGAATTCATAAGAACAGCAGTCTTTCCTTAAAACATAGAAATCTGGTTCCTATTTTCTTTCTTAATCATAATGGTAGAGATTAATGTAGATTTATATTATGAAAATTAATATATCATTAAGTTATTTAATTATTAATGTATGTTTTTAACACAACTGTGATAGTTACCTTTGGCAAGTGTTTGTAGATAAGGCACATAAAATGTCATGCACAGTCTGTGAACAGAAAAAGTATTTTTTTCATGTTAAGTGAGTTTTAAGGAATAATGAAGTCCCAGCTTTGTCCAAGGCAAACTGCTTTAAATGATAATTTTCTGTTCTATAAAGAATATATCTTAAGGTACACTTGAGCTCTGAAATCCTAAGCTTCTCTAATGTGGATAACTAATTACGAATGTTAAAATTCACACTGTTCCTGGGTACAGGAGTAGAGGGGGGTACAGATTGGTGTCCACACAGATGGAAGCTTCTCCTGTATATTTACAGAGAGTGTTTTAGCTCAGCCTTGCTAGAAAATGAGGATCCCTCTCCATTTCCCAACTGGCCCATTATCTACTTCACTTGAAACTTGAGATTATAATTAATTAGTTGTGGACGTGTAAGCCTCCCTAGTTACTCTTTCAACCCGATGTGACTGCTACAAGAAGCTTGTGAAACTCATTAGCATGGACCCAGGAAGGCTGAGCACTGGAAAGTGGAAGTGCAGAACTGAAATGTCGTGTTGGCCCAAGAGAGGCCAGGAGGAAACACAAAACATTTAAAGGTAACTTAAACATCTCTCTACAGGGTAGGTGGCTTACAGCTCAGAGACAAGCACATTAAAAAGTAGTTGAATCTGGACTCTAACTGAAAATGAAATAAGTTTAGACTTTTTAACTTTTCTCACTAATTCAAAAGCATACTTGACAGAAGAATATTTCAAATTCATCGGAACAGAAATGCATTTGAATACTATAATTTATCAGGCTTGAAGTGACATAAATGAAATTCTGGTCCTCTGGACAGGCAAGTGCCAACTTGAGGGCATACATGATAAAAACAGTCACTTCCATGAGTTTAAATTTGGTACAGTCACAGGAATGTCACACTACATGTACCATCTTTTCTTCTAAGTGACTGTGTAGAAGTAACAACTTCCATGAGCATCAGCAGTATCCCTGAAGGTAAAAATAAACCCCAACAGGACAAATAATGGTTTCCAAGTGTGCAGGGAGGATGGGAGCTTTGATGGCAGCACGGGAGCAAGGGAGTGAAGTAGGGAGAGAGAAAAGGAGGCAGGGAGAGAGAGCCCAGAGAGAGAGAACTTGCTAGTGCACATGTACAGTGTACGGTTGTGATGTGTCTGAGGTTACTAATGTATTTATGAGTCTTGGTCCTTAGTTTTTTGAAAATACAGTCACAGTAGGTCTACCTAGCACTGTCTCCCACCCTGGATGTCTCTCCACTGAAAACAAAGTGCATTCAGGCATTAGCCATGCAGCAGAGCCCTATAAGAACACCACAATTGGCTTAGATGGAACAGAAATGGGTACTAGGAAAGTCTTTGGCCAGGGAATGGAGAGCAGTGAACTCATTCCCACTTAATCTGCTCCCTCTCATTTCCTCTTGAGTCAGTTTAGGGCATGGTGAGCTATCCAGGGAAGTGGGTGTGATCTGTTGTCTCTGAGATCAAAACACCATGTACAGAACATTTCCCAGAGTCCTTCATTTGGAACCAATCAGACTATGGTATCCTCAGTTCTACAGGAGAAACTCAAGCAGGTTTTCAACAGCATGAAATGTCTAGACCCGACATCAGCCTGAGGTCTGGGGAATAAGGCTGTCATCAAGCAGCGTGTCACTGTTGACACTTTCAGTGGCACACCCTGTTTGTTTCCAAGGTGTGCTTCATTTCTTGCCTTTAGTTGGGCCAGACTTGTTCTGAGGAGCGTGTTTCTTTTCTTTTCATACCTTTAACTAATGCAAACCCATGCTACTTTTAATGCTTGTCTTGAGCAATTCTTTGTTCAGGACAGAAAGAATCTAGAAAACACCTCTAGAAGGAGACTAGAGAACTCCAGGCCCAGTGACACTCAATCCTGACTATCTCTGAGCAGTACCTAAGAAACTGGATCAAGGGGGAAAGAATATAGATGTAACAGGAGATTGTCTGCTCACTTGTAAATTATTCCTACTCTATGTGACAACAAAGAAATGAGGCATGTGATATAGGGACATGTGCAGAAAACATGCAGTTTGCCTTTAATTACACAAAACTCTTTTTAACAGAACCACCACTACTATGGTGGTAGAGAAATCATGTTACTGGTATCTACTGAAAAGTATAAAGTAAATATTTATTGATGTAAGGCAAGACAACTACTAAATAATGTTAACAAAGACTGTTAAAAGACAAATAAAAAAGAAATACAAACAAACCCTGTAAGCCCACTGTCATGGAATGGGCATTCAGATATACCACTCCCAGTCCAAGCACACCTGACAGCATATTTTAAAGATTGTTTCTTTTATTATGACATTTCTTACTTCTGTGCAAAAACACTCAATGTGCAGAAAAAGATAATGTAAATCTCTATACAACGCAGGGTATGGCAGTGCATGCCTGTAATCCCAGTACTGGGGAGGCTGAGGCAGGAAGACAGTAACTTCAGGTCAGCCTGTGCTACAGAACAAGACCTTGTTCAAACCCAAGGAAGAGGGGGAGGGGATAGGAGGAACAGGAGATGGAAAGACAAATAGAAAATAAATGCTTATACTAATTTTTCCTGCTTGTCTATACTCAAAATAGATCAAGACTTCTTTGAATGTGCTTTACCTGTGACAGACACTTAAGTCATCACTGTATTTTTCTTAGTACCTATCACAGTTGTAATTCTTCAGTTACGTGTGTGATCATTTGCATAGTGTTTTCACTTTCCGTCCCCAGTACTGTCCAAGACATGGGTGGCAATGTTTTATTTCTCCAGAGTATATACTTCATGCAGTTCCCCACAAATAGCAGGGAACTGGCAAAATCTTTTGAAAGAATAAATAAATACCTTTAATAATGTGAATCTCTATAAAAACAAGTATAATAATAGATAAAAACCTGACTAAAAAGTATCATCTGATTTAAAAATAAAGAATGCAGAGAAATTATCATTAATATACTATTATTCTTATTTTGAACAAGTGAGGAAAAATTTTTTGAAATACCTGCTTAAAGATAAAATAAGTAATCATCACAACAACTGGAAGCAATAATGTCTTCATGTACCTCATTGGAGTCTGAAACACAGCAAATTATTCAAATAGTTACTGAATTTTACATTAACCTAGTAAAAATCTATGTCAAAGTGAGTGCCACCATATTTCTTAAAAGTAAAATATCTGTCATTAGCAAAATACATTTATAAACATTTACATTCAAATACAAGAATCAAAGTTATAAACTAGTTATACAAAATGTTCAACAAGATTAATGATAGTAACTTTTAAACCCAGAACTGGCTAAGTCTATTATGTTTTCCTTTATGTGGATCTGTATTTTCTTTATTTACATAATATTGAGTTCTAACACGTGTGTTATTATTTCCTGGGCCCAAGATTGTCATTTCTTACACTACAAAATTTTATTATTTTTATCTACTAATAAAACAGCTAACAAGCAACAGAGTTGCCAGTCTAATTAATGGAAGTACGAATAATAGTATCAGCTCAGTAATCCTCATAACCTCTTATTGTGTGGAAGTGCGAATAATAATATCAGCTCAATAATCCTCACAACCTCTTATTATGATAAGCAGTGCTCTGCCAAGTAACTCAACTATATTTCTTGCGAGCAAGAGCTAGATCATTTTCCTCTTCACTGGCCTATAGCAAAAGCCTCTTGGACAATTAGTGGCCAATAACAAGTTTCTGAATAAATGAACAACTGGTTGGATGCAAAAAGAATGCAAAATTTCATTATTATACTTATCACTAACTCAGAATTCATCATTATAAAACAAGGAGGACCTATGACAACTTTTTCCTGTTTTATGAAGAAGAAAGTCAGCCTCAGACAAAGGAAAGTGCATGGCCTGGGAGGGCCAGGATCCACCAGAAAGTGCTGGTTCTGGCTCCAGTGTCCACATGAGGCAAATCTTTTAAGGTCTGTCCTCTTCATACGCAAGCAGAAAAAAAGTTATTACATGGTCACCAAGATCCCTCCCTGGTCTTATATTTCACAGTCCTACAAGGCAGTAATTATTTTAGAGCTTAACAAGTTACATGTTTTTGTTTTTTTTTTTAATTAGGATAATACCACATACTTTAAGTCTCTAAAATTTAAAATGAGTTTTGTGTACTTATTAAAAGCCATTACCAATACTCTCTTAAAAACTTCTAATAATACTTGGGGTACTAAATGCAATAAAACTTAATTTCTTCCAAACAAATACCAGAATGTGGATTTTATTCTCCTGAGTGGCCTTGCATCTGAAACTGGTCTCAATTATTAAAGGTCATTCATTGATAATAATAGTTATTACTGTGGATCCTACAGTATGTTAACTACTTTGTCTAGATTTTCATATTTAACTGTATTTTGGGGTAAGGGCTATTACCTATTGACTTTACAGGCAAAATAGGTGAGGAACACGATATGGTTAGCAAACATTTTAATCAAAGGTGGCTGAGTTATTAAATTTGACATATCTGAGTAAAAATTTTGAATTTCATACCTAAAAGGAAAACTAAAGAGTCAAAACCCATTATACATCTGTAGACAATGAAAAAATAGAGAAATATTCATACCTCTTCTTCCATGAAATAAGATTCAGGAGCACATGTGTACATTAAGGTATCAAAATCTGTATACCGTAAGATTCTGGCTGCTATAAGGTCAGTCAGGCTAATCTGGAAGAAAATTGTAAAATGAATTAGAATTACACAAATGATTATAGCCAGTAATAACTGACACAGAGTAACAAATGGATGTGTCTCAGAAACAAACAAAAAATACACAGAACCAAATGTGTTACATGTGGAGTTATTAAAATAACTGAAAATAAAGAGAAATTAAAAAGAAAAGAAAAATAGAAAGAGGTAAAAGTAAGTAAGCAGAAAAAATGACAAAGCTAAAATCAACATCTATTGGGAAGAAACCACCTTTCAGTTAATCATAACATTACTTTATCATGAAAAAGAATCCAATTATCACTTTAATCTTGTACACTGTAAATCACAAACTTTTATGCCTTGTTACTTTTATCAAGTCTCCTACACTGATTACATTTGTTACTTCTTGACATAATGTTTGACTACCTGCTGTCAGTGAGACGAGTATTTTTCCCCTGAATTCTCAGAAGGTCAGGAAAAGGAAAATATTTAGCATGTGCTGCCTGAATTCAATTTATTTGATAGGGACAGAAATTACAAGTTTAAACATTATCGATGCTTTCTCCCATTCACAATTTTTCTTATCTATCACCATGAAAGATAATTTAGAGATGTTCTTTGTATTTCGAATTCAAAATAAACATGTTGATTAACAATATCCATCAGACCACTAGCATTTCGAGTCTCTCCCACACTAGCTAGAGAAAGTCACAATTACCAAGGTGAAGATGTGTGTTTTTAATATTTTTTTTAAACAATGTAGAGCAAGACAAGAAAAAAAATTGGACTAATTGATAAAAACGTTACTGACAGGGCCTAAATGAAGATTATCATATCCTACAAAATAAAAAGTTATGACAAATGAAAAGAAAAAAGAGAAATCTGCCATACATACTAGAGATAAACAAAAATAAAAAAATCTACTAAACCACTATTCAAAGCAAGCAACAAACAGCAAATAAATGCTTATGTTTAAAAATTTTATTTAACATTCGCATGAATGTATGTTTTATTGGATAGCAATAACACTTGATCTTTTAGACAAGGAATTTGCGTAACCTCAGTACCAGATAGGGTCCTGATGGGATGGCACCAGGGAAGGTCAGTTTTATACTACATATTATGTAACGGCACAGCACATGTTTATTTCTTAACATAAATGCTAGAAATCAAACGTTATTTTTTTATTCCCTACACTAAATAGTTAAGTAGGAACCTGGGCCATTAAAAAGGCCATTATTTAAAATACTACATGAGAGATTAGGCTCTGTACAGGATTTCTAAAAAATAAGAACTTTTAACATTCTCTTTTTACAAACCAGTAACACCTTAAAATATAAAATCCTAAGTCTAGCCCATAATTATAAATAAATAAAACTATACCCAAGGTTTAATTTTCCTTTGCTTTGCTTTGCTGTACTAGGGATTGAATCCCAGGCCTTTGAACTGAACTACATCCTGAGTGCAAGGATGACAGGCAGGTGCCAACACACCCAGTTCTATAGAGATTTTAAGGGTTCTGCAATTTTAGGACTTGGTACAGACTACTCATATGAAATAAATGGGAAAGCTATTAAATAAGAGACTAAGTCTGCATTCACTGATACTTTTTTTCTTAGTGGTTACAAAGACCTTTGAACTGTAGGGTTTTATATTTGATTCTGCTAATAATTAGCCAATGGTAACCTCTGTAAAATTAAGTGGTTAAAAACAGATTGTTTCAGAGTTTTCATCCAGCTACATATTTTTTGGAACTATAATGTTTCAACAAAAAGTACTTACATGGTCTGAAACACCTAAGATTTCAGATGTCAGAAGTTTCATAATGATTGTTCCAAGCCACCAACCACAACCTTGAATTAGCTTGAAAATAAAATACAAGTCCAGTATTACAAATTAACAATTAAGTTAAAATGTTCAATCATACCTAGAAATCACAGGAAGATTTTAATCCTATGACATATACCGTATTATTGAACTGTACAATATATAGTAAATTCTCAAAAAGACATATCCTCTTAGAAAATTTTATTAAGAGCAAAGGGTTTAAATTGATGACATTGTTATAAAATATATAAAACACAAGAGCTCTACATATTATAAATCTAGAGGAAAATATAAATATTTCACTGTAATCTCTGTTAATAATAGGGATCATATGTTTATTTCCAAATATTATTTCTGAGCTGAAAATACATATTTCACAACACTGTATTCAAATGCTTCTATCACTCTTTTAGAAATAAAATTACATAAGCTCCTCTTCAAGAAAGGAAAATTTGATAACTTAAATTTTCCTTTTCAAAAGAGAAATAAACACTAAAGCTGACAGGGAGGGTTCTAGTGTTTACTTTCTTGGCTGCCTTTAATTACAAAGGGGACCACTGTAGACATCCGGGCAGCCTAAATTCAAATCTTCCCACATGAAATCTGACAAGCAGGACCGTAACAAGAAGTGCAGAAAATAGATTGACAGCACTAATTCTATATTCCCTGTCTATAGAAAAGGAAATAATGCATCAGATTTGTTTCTGATCAAAGCTTCTGCTGAAAAGAAAGGGAGACCTTTAAGGAGCTACAGAGGGGGAAGAGAAGAAGGGCCCCCAAACAGAATCAAAATACTCAGAGAAAGAGAAGCCACCATACATATGAAGAAAGGGCTGGCAGATTGAGAATGGGCTACAAAGCAGGAACTTAAGGTGCAAAAAAACAGTAATACTACAAACTTCAAATTACAGACAAGGCCCCCACCCCCACCCCGGGCAAAAAGTAAAAAGATGACCAGTCACCATTGCCAAAGCAAAAAAAAAAATGAAAGAGGAAGTGAAGAAGTGAGGAAGCCAGCATTCCTCACTACCAGGACCTGGGGCTGGTTTCAGGACTGGGCCAGGCCAAAACAATACAAGCCAGAGCATCCCACTTGGCCACAGTGTACTCAGGGATCACAACTGCATGTGGAGGCAACCAAGGATCTGGTAGAAAGCACTTCTAACGGCTACCGCTGGAGCTTCTATTTGTGATCACGTGAACTTCTGCTGCAGACACCAGATGTTCCAAGGTCATTCTCTGGGAAAGGACCTGCAAGGCAATCCTGCTGGAATTCCTGCCAACCCTAACACTAGATGGGAAGAGACGTCCTCTGTTGAATACCATGGATTAGTTTCCCATTTACTTGGACAATCTTTACATCTTAAAATTTAAAATTGTTTCCCCATGTAAATGAATTACTAATGTGTTAGGTTTATTCAGACATTATAGATTTTTTTCTTCCAAATATCTAAGGGGAAGTATGTGTTCTGTTGGTTGCCAAATTTCCTATGCTTCAATTTTTTTTCCTTTTCTTAGATGTTCTTGAGCTTATAGGTTAATTCTTATTCTTTGTAGTCTATGCTTAGAATACAGTAGAAAATTCAGTTTAAGACAATAAATTTTCCTCTGAGTACAGCTTTGGTAAAATTCCTTAAACATCTATGAACATTATTTTATATACTGTTATTTTCAATAGCTTGCAATTGAAATTTTGACTTCTGAGTTATCAAATTGCCCAATTTTTATGAAGTGAAAAACAACACATTAGAATTGCCATGTTACCCAACAACTTATACAACATATAATGTAATATAATATAAACTTATGCTTCCTAAGTATGCTTTCATTTTTTAACATGATACATCAAAATCCACATCAAAAGAATAAATGCTAGCTCAGGACTATTTCCTTTTGACAGTAGTTATTTATAAGGCTTTCTAAACAAAATCATTTTTCAAGTACATCATCTAAATTCTTTTACAGAAAAAAAATGAGATTTAAAAATCAGTTAAAAACATTGAAACTCACCCAAAAGTTGAGTTCAGAAAATGCCAATTTATGAATTTTATTTCTCTTTGAAATTATCAACTGAAAAACACGTTACAGAAAATGAATAACATTAACATTTATATGAATGGTACATTTCAAACATTATGCAGTTACACTCTTGTCTCAACTGCCGCCAGCCTTTTTCCTCAAATGCTGACTTCAGAGTAGGGATGTGATGACTGTCTCATGGGAGAGCTAGATGCTCTGCTACAGTGCTGCCTCTTAAATCATTTCAGCACCTCATTGAGTTGTGCTGCTATGTTTTGCAGGTTAACCCCCTGCAAAGGTGGACGGTGTATGGATTCCTATTTATTTTAGTACTCATAAACATTTTGACATAATGTTGGAAAAACCAAGCATATATTAGGGGGAGAAGAGAAAATGAAGAGACTCATTACTTTGATGCATAAAGGACAGAGAAAACAAAAATGTCACCTAAGGACAATGCCAAAACCTTCAATCAGTGCACCATACAAGGTAAGAGCTCATGTTCAAATAAGCATTGCTCTATGAGAATAAATTATACAAAGAGGCTACAGTTACTCATCTTGCCACTTTCTGAACTGCCTTCAAAGACAACTGGGTTTTAAGTGTAGCAAAATCAGTCTTAATTGTCTTATCACATTCTCACCAACAGCTGGGTCACTCAGTCCAATCATCTACACTATTTGTAAGATTTTGATCAATCCTAAAAGTTAAATACAACCTTAAAAGATGACATCAGGGGGAATATTCAAAAGAATATGCCAAAGGCTGGTAATTTAAGGATTTCCAAAAATGTTCTGGGCAATAGTTTTGTTACTATAATAAATAGTTACTCTAATAATGTGACTTAAGAGAAAAACAGTCATTTCATCATAAATTATAAGTTCTTTTAGAGGTTAAGTTTTTAAAGCAAGTTTTATTATCCTGTTATCATATTAAAAATATTTACTTGGGTGCTGCTTTGAGAAGGAAATCTGGTGCACTATATTATTTTTCAAGAATGAAGAAGAGAAAAACCATTTGGGAAATTTTTTTCATGAAATAATAATCTTTTACACATAGAATAATCATCTGCTATGCTTGTATTAAACAAACTTGCTCTTAACAGGGGTTAAAAACCATTCATAAGCTTAACAAGCACTTACCCATGTGATTAACAAAGACGAAAAATAATAAGAGCACAAGTACATTGGATTTCCAAACATCAAAATAAAACACAGGACAATTGAAACCTGAAAAATTAAAAAACACTTGCTTTACAGATATTGCATGTACAGCATGATGAATACTTTGGAGACATGCAGTCATTTTTAACACAAGCATCTGTATAAGTAAGATTAATGGTCTTGGCCCACAGAATTTCAAGTCATTGCTAATTTCTAAGTATTAAAATTCAAGATCATAAATTCATATAGCACAACTAAGTTTTTCTCTATCTACTACTTGCACAAAGAAAGGTTTAAAAATTCTAGTATCAGGGCGGAGAATTTAACTCAGTGGCATAAGCATCTTCCTGGCAAGCATGAGGTCATGAGTTTGATCCCCAATCCAAAAAAAAAAAAAAAAAAAATTCTACTATTTCTATTGTTTGAATAACAAAGTAATAAAAGAAGACTTAGGTAGACCTACAGTTTCCTAATCTTGTTTTTTACTTCATGATTTCCATCACTGATGAGCTTTATTTTTTCTGTTTTTAAAGAAGGTAAGTTTGAAATCTAAGATAAAAACAAATATGCAGCAATGTAAAATTTTCACTGTAGAGTGTCATATTTGCACTAAGTAGTAGAAATCTCAGGGCTAAGGAACAAAGACTATTTCAAAATTAAAGACAAAAACAAACCATAAAATATTTTAGAGAGGCCAACACATTTACAATCTTGTTGAAAGCAATAATGTGTTGTAATGGAGTACCTGTAACACATATTCCCAGTTTTCTTTCTGGATACCATTAATATTACATGCATTAAACATTACCATAAACAGAATTAATTATGTTTTATAAACTCTGGAAACTTATTTTAATATTTGATTTATAAATATAAAAACATTACCATATTCATATAAATGATCTTCTGAAACTTGTTTGGCTCAATGTACCCCACGACATACATGGGAAATAATGAGGCTACCTGAAACAAACATACAACATCACAAAAGTGAAAAACATCTAGCAAACAAGTGCGTAAAACTAGTTTTAGGTAAGGTAAATATAAGAAGGGAGTCATTTCTTATCATAGTAGGAAAATTAATCTGAACCAATTTTCCAGTTGAGCAAGTGGAATGCCCAGGGAAAAATATATATGTATGAAAACTGTAGATTATTAACAAGGCAAATGAGAAATTGGCAAAGTAAAACCAGGGAAAAGATGGGAATCTATCCTGATGACCATGCATTTTGGATAACTTTTTCTCCCAGATATATCTGCAGGTTCCAATACAGGCAGGTTGAGAGGCACAGAGAGACCCGCAGGCTCCGCAGATGTTTCAATAGACCGGGTGGTCAGGGCATGCCAAGAAGTGGGTGCCTCGAGTACCCAGCTTTGGTCTGGGGCATCAAAGGACTATACTCTATGAGTGAACCAGAAAACAGGTTACCCTTCAGAAAGATTTAACCACACCTTTAAGTATCTTTAAGTATCTTAATCATAAGTATCTTAATCACTGCAGAAATATGATTCAAGAACTTAGTACCTTTATTTGCCTGCTGTAAGCAAATTTAATCAACTCTAGAGAAAGCTATTATCAACTTAGTCTCAAATTAACTCCACAATACTTCAAATAACTAAGCAAACTACTAAGAGATTTTAAGAGGTGGAGATAAGACATTGAGAAGAGGAGGTAAGGCTGAGAGAAAGAGACAAGACATTATCACTGAGACTACAGAAACAGATCTACAGAGGACCTTGTTCTCTAACAGACCAGAAATTATACACATCATGCTTTGTGGTCCATACACAGTCTCTGTTTTATACCATTTTTGTTGTTTTTCTTTTCAAAATTCTTTAGAAATATAGAAACAGTCATTTGCCTGCAGACCACTCAAAAACATACCTGATAGCATCAGTATGAAAGTAAAAGCTGTTTGACATGTCCAAACGAATAGAATACATAGGACTGAAAATTCCATGACAGCAATGGAAAGAAGAAATCAAAATGTTACAAATAAATATTACAATAACATTAAAATATTAAATGATGATGTTTTGAGTTTAAAAGCAGAATAAATATAAAAGAAGTGCTCAACTAGAAGACAGGCTAGAAGAAAGTATGTGAAAATACAAAATGATAAAAAGGTGAAAAATATCAGAAGGAAAACAAAAGACATAGAGTACAAAATGTAGAGATCAATTCTTTTACAACTTACATTCCAGGAAGGCAATTAGGTAGAAGTTATATTCAAAGGGGTATAGCTGAAAATCTCAAAAAACTGAAAGGCAAATGCAATCACTGATTTGCAAAGCAGTAGAAACCATCAAAGTGAAATAAAGTAGAAAAAAAAATGACCACCACACAGGCATTATCATAGAAAAATCTGCACAAAGCCAAAGGAAAAGCAAAAACAAATGCAGACTAAGAGAATTTGAGATTTAGTGTTAAGCTATTGTAATCAACAGAACTGAACTGAAGAAGAAATAGTCAAAGTGGTCAGTGATATAAAACAGAGAGCTTGGAAATAAATCCAGACAAACACAGGCAACTGAGCTCTGACCGAGGAGCAAAAGCAACTCAGTGGAGGACAACCTCCAGTCAGTGGTGCTGAAACCTGTGGACATCCACAGTCAAGAGAAAAGAAGACTTTAGACACAGACTCTATGCCTTAGACCTAAAGAAAACTTCACAAGATAACATAGGATAAGATCTAGGTGGCCTATGGTTTGATGACAACTTTGAAAATACAAAACTGAAGCGAGATCAGGAGAAATATCTTTAGACAACACGTATCTAACAAAGAAGCTGTACACAAAATATACAAAGAACTCTTCAAACTCAATAGTAGGACAACAATCCAATTGAAAATGGCCAAAGACTTTGGACACCTCACCAAAGATGGCAAACAAGTGCAAAGCAAGATGCTCAATATTATATGTCAAATTAAAACAACAAAGAGACGATGCCACTGCTCCCCACAGGATAGATAAATAAAAAGGTGATAAAACTGGCAGTTCCCCAAAGTCTATCAGTCACACTCTTGGGTATTTATCCAATCAAGGGTAAAACCTATGTCTGCCCAAAAACCTGCACACAAATGTTTATGGTAGCTTTACTGATAATCACCAAAGACTAGAGTTTCCCATTATGTCCCTCAGTAGGTGAACGGACAGTGTGGTGCAATCATACAGTTAAATATCATTCAGTAATAAAAAGAAATGAGCTCTCCTGTCATAAAAACACACAGAGGCATCTTAGATGCAAATTCCTAAGGGATACAAGCCGGGAGGAAAACATCACATACTTTCCAACCATTATGACATTTTATAAAAGGCAAAGCTGCAGAGACAGCAGAAGTTCAGTGGTTGTTAGGGGTTACATAAGGGTTGATATTATTCTCTGTGGTAGTCTAATGTGTTTATCAAAACTGTACGATATGGAGAGTGAACCTTAATAAAAACTGTGAAACAATAATAAAGCATTAATATTCTAGGTTTCTATCAGTCTTTCACAGCTTTTCTCTTTTTGCTTAAATGGTTATGTTTTGACCTGTGCTGTTTTGTTGTTATGTCCTCTTTTATCTCAATCTCCTTTTTTAATTATTTACTTTTTATCTTTTTAATTAAGGGAAAAATTAAAAAATAGCAGGATATATTATAGTAATCCACTTTGATTTCCTATTAACTTGATTTGAAACCCTGTATTGCTCTCCCCATTTGTTTTGACTGATTTTCCTCTATTCTGTTTCGCTTGATACTACCAAGTTCGAGAGTATAGGCAACAACTGCGAAGACAATAAGATTCATTATGATGTCCATTCTGGTTTGACTATTATCGTCTTTTGAAGTCTTGTAATGTCTCCAATGTTTTGGTTTTATTGGTTTTCTTCTTTACTGTTTTGTTCAATTTTATTATAACTGATGATATAGGCAATTCTTTTTAAGATAGCAAGAGGCATTATGGCAACCAATGTTAATCACCGTGTATTTTGTTTTTACAGTATGTATTATGTCCATCCTTTTGATTTGACTGACTCTGTTTTGTTATGTCACATTTGGTTTTATTTTCTTTTAAAAAAGTGATAGAACTGTGGGAGTAATAAGACCCAAAATGTGTAATTGTCATTGTACAAAAGAGAGAAAAAGAAAGTGCTCTAAAGGACATAACTACATGTATATTTAAGTGTATAAGATAGATAACCATATTACTGAGTTTTATTGGATCACTGAACAGAACTGTTTGCAATCTCACTGTTTGAACGTTCACTTTATATGCTTTAATTTTGTAACCTGAATAACTATTTCCAAGATGACAATATGCAATCTATTAACTAGTGATTTCCTACTGTTTATTTTTTCTGAAATTCTGTATAACTTGTACCCTTTTTCTGTTTTTTTCTTTTCTTTCTCTCCTTAAATAAAATATAAAAAAAAAAGTGTCACCAATCTCTGGCTTCTTAACTCACATTTCTTACGTAATACAATTAGGAAACATTAATTAATGTTAACTTTAGTCTATGAAAAATCTAACCAAGAATAAAATCTTTGCATATTCCAGAAAAATAACTTTGACTTATCTCATTACTATGAAAAGGCAAACATACAAATGAATTTCACAGATAAAAACACTCGTATATACTTGCATGGACAGAAAATCATTTAAGGCAATATTGAACTTATCCAGAGAACTTACCTACAAGGGGTGATCAAAATACATGGTGTATGTTTAAATTTGAAAAACATTTACCACAGTACCAGATACACTATCATTAACCACACTCAAAAATCCTCACCTTCTCACACCTCCCATCATTCTTGCCACTTTCTGAAACAGTTGTGGAAGTCCTCTTTTCTGAGTGTCCGTATGAAATGTGATCAAATATTTGATAAATTGCAGCTGTTGTGTAGCAGTCAAAGAAAAGCAGGGTCGGGCTGGGGATTTAACTCAGCAGGCATAAGCGCCTGCGTTGCAAGTACGCAGTCATGAGTTCGATCTCCGGTACCAAAAAAAGAAAAAAGAAGTTTGATCTTAAAAGCAGGCTCATAGAATCGCTGCAATGTGTTCTTTTTCTCATTATTATTTCTACTTCTTGTGGTACTGGGGATTGAATCCAAGATCTTACCAACCTTAATTACTGGATGTGGCACTGTGCAATTTCAAATGACCATGAAAGGAAAGCATTTGAATCAATCCAGGATATGCAGGCAGCTGCAACAGCACAACTGAAGATATTCGTGAAAGAGGACTTTAGAACTGCTTCAGAAAGTAGCAAGCATGATCACAAAAGCACGTTCAAAGTCGGGGAATTTTTTGAGGGGTGATTAACTGCCAATAATATACTTTTCCAACTTAAATAGTCATCATATTTTTATCACATCTCACAGCACACTGGATTAACAAATTTGTTCACAATGAAATGATGCCCATTAAAAATATATTCCTCTATGTTGGCATGTGCAAATAATGACAACCACAAAATCATCAATGTGTTGCAATCTGAAAGAGGCCAACTAAAAGACAATAAAGCAGTGGAATACCCTTAAACATTCTTTAAACATACAGTGCTAACTAAATTGAGGTTATAATATTAATCTTTGTGATAATTCACAGCATGGGGTCCCATGGCGGAATTTCTCACCTCTAATATAGAATATTATTATTATTATTATTATTATTGTCATTATCAGTGTTAGGATTTCTAGGCTTTAGTGGAAAACTTCAGTGTTATGAAATTACATTACAATTGTCCTTTTTTCCTAACTGTGCTTCCCAACTCTGATGCAGTATATTGCCATGAGTTACTTAGTTGTTTTGGGAAGCTGGACACAGATTCAAATCATGCAAGCATTACCACAAGTACAGCTTTGAGATATGACTCCAGGCAAAATTGTGTTCTTTAGACAAAACAGCCAAAGTTTAGTTGGACCAGAATAGAAACCTCAACCATGAAGAGCAGGACTACATATTTTGTGTAGCTGGGCACCCAGGTAAGAAAATCTATAGGGAAATAGATACATGGATGTCACCCCACCTTCCAGCAGGAACACTGGAGAAAAATGTAATAGAAAAAATTTCTTTACATGTCAATTATTAATATTAATCAGTGACCAACACACTAGAGAATACAGAATTATATTTTTAAATCACACATTCATGTAGTTCACAAATAATCATTCCACATTCTATAAATCTTTTAGAGTATAAATGTAATCACATTTTAAAATTACTATAGAATTAACCAGTACATATTGCATCTAATTTAAATTAATTTTAAATCATCTTACCTGTGTAAAAAGTATAAACTGGGCAAATTCCCAGGGAAGCATAAAAGCAACATTGGCAAGACAGAAAGGAATGGAGTATTTTCCATAATTGTTGGAGGTCCTTAGCAGAGAAAAGTGGGATCAGTAAGTTTTGCTATGAAGACTGTCATTTAAAAAAAAAAAAAAAAACTTGCAAAATGACAAAATCTAAATAGTTCTCTTAACTTTGGTATAATACACCAAAACCTAGTCAACTTTAAAAACCAGTTTAGCAAAAAGAAAACAAGAATTAACACTCCAGAAATAATATATAATTCATCATTAAATAATATATAAAAGTCTTATTTTGCTGTAAATACGCATGGCTTTCAAAATTAAATACTCCATCAGAAGGTCAGAAAATAGGACAGCACAGTGCCCTGGTTGCCTCCAGATGTCTACCCCACAGTCTTCACATATCACCACTTGCATAACTCAAAAACAGGAAAAGTGTAAGTACTGGTGAAGAAATAAACAATGGTGGAAAATTTTAAGGAAAAAAATTTAAGACAAAATTAAACCTAAATCTGGAGTAGAGTGAAATTACTACAGATGAAATACAAACTGCCCATTTTGCAATACTAAAACATATTGGTAAGCAACATATTATATCATGAGCAGCTCAGGATCTTTCAAATATGAAAAACAAAATCCAAGGGGTTTTTTAAATATATAACAGCAACTATTCTTTATTATAAAAGTTGTATTGTGCTTTTTATAAATCTTTATGCAACAGTAGGTAACTTTTTAAAAGCAAAAATCAAAATATACTGTTTAGTAATAATGTCACAAAACATTCATTTAGCTCTTGGCAATCTAGTATTTAATCAAATCAAAATTACTTTTCACTCAGGTAAAGAGCACAGCATGTACTCTCAAGGATACAAAACTAAATGTTGTAAGTAGCACATTGCATTCTATGAAACTCCTGTCTGTTCAGGCTGACAGCACCTTAATCAATCAATCAATCAATCAATCATACTATCTTCCAAGTAATTAAACCGAGAATGAAGGGAGATGTGGAAGACTGAGCAACTCTCTTTACCCTACTTATTCAGAGGCGGCAACGCACTGAACAAACATAGAAATCCAGACAGGGAGCAAGTAATCAAATCTAATTGCGGCCCCCAAATAAACTTTGAGGCAGGTAACACACCAGGATTGGCCTGATCCTCTCTAAGGCTTGCAGTCTCCCCAGGACACAGAATTTACCTTCATTTAATCAACTAACACAGGAGCACTTCAACGTTCACATGGGAGGGTGCTAAGCACTCAGCGGTTAGAAATAGAGAGAGCACAGTCTCTGTTTCCAGAGAGGTAGTTTTAAATATATGAAATGTAGATGTAGACCTCTGTGTACTTACGCGTGATTCACAAATTTACAGTTCAAAGAAAGAAGGAAGGAAGGAAGGATTGATTTTCACAGAAGGTGGAATCTACCAAGGATTAGTAAATGAAATGGGATGGGTTCCCTGAGATTTTGCAGAACACACTGATCATTACTCTATCCAGCATGAGATCTCATTAACAGTCTATGAATTTTACTTATATCACAAAATTATTCAAAGTATTTCACTACTTATTTTGTTTCTCGGGCTTCTTAAATGTTTGAATTGCTTATAAATTCAATACCCACATAAAATGTATCCAAAAAGAGAAAAACAACTGAGATAAAATTGGTTGAACTAGTAGAACCATCAGAGATTCATTCTCTGTCTCTCTCTCTGTGTCTCTCTCTTGATTCCAACTCCAACCCCATCCTCATCCCCAATATTTTGCCAATTCTGTTCTGTTGCACACAGAACACCTTTTTATGGTACATATATAAATGCTTTATCAAAAACACAGTTCAGAAAACAAGTTACAGAACATAAACTTTGAGTAGAAATTCTTTTTTTCAAAACCTGTCAAATCCTTGCAAAAATAAATGATCACATATATTTTACTAAAAATAATCTAAAACCTGTAGCCTAAATTCTTAAAGAGATCAATTTTTATACTGTGATTTTAAGATTATCTTCATTCTACGCTCAGTTTATTTTTAAAATAACTAAAGAAAGCATAGTCTGAATATGGCAATTATAACAGACTGATGAAATTTTAAGAAACTTAACTTGAATTTACTTAGCTGTGCTTTACAAATCAAACTTACCTGAGAATCATGGTTAAAATATACATCTGAAGCACCAGGAACGGATATGCAAAGCTTTCGCGGAGAGGCGGCGTCCACATCACACGGGTGGCCTGAGATGAACAAAAGTCTGAGTTCACGGAGGGCCCATGACAGCAAACATCATTTGCCTAACACGGGGGCTGGCTTCCTCTGGGACCTTTAACCCTATGTCCACAGGATCCTACTTCTGAAAGCCAGTCAAAGCTCTTCCATTCTGGAGCTCCTTACACAGGACCACTGAGTAGAGGGCCCATCTTCCAAGTCCAAAGAAAGAGCCAGATCAATGGGACCAAGTACAAGTATGCCCAGCAACCACCAAGAAGGCAGGGAGAGGGACTGTGAGGATTCCTGGGCCAGATCCACAGTCCAGCCCTACATGTGTGACCCAGACATCCTGGGCCGTGAGCCCCACACCTATCCACAGCAATACTCAAGCAGGTGTCACCTGAGGCATTCACAAACACCAAATTTGCATCTAACAAGTCCAGAGGGCACAAGTAGGTAAGATCTCCTCTGAGTGTTTACTGTAAATCTCTAAGAGTTTACTGTAAATTTTAAAGACAACTGGAAGTAATGAGAATTACCAGTGGAAAACACATAATGTAAGAAATGTGATGCAGTGAATATAAGTATTAAATACTCATGTATACCTTAAGGCAATTTCTAAGATACATGGGTCAGAATATGATAAAATATTCTGTATCAAAAATTCTCAAAACACTAAATTTTTTTTTCTCTGCAAGAGCCTTAAAAGTTACAGTTCTAAGAACCTCAAGTTGCAAACTATGGAAGATGAACTACAATTGTATAAAAAGTTAATTCATAGAATTAGCAGTGTAACAGATTCAAATACAAGGCTTTTTCTTTATGTCACCAGATTACTGAATGACAAGGTATTTATTTGCTTTTGGGTGAAATAATATACTGAAATCATTTTATGTGTGCGTTTTAGTATTTCCTTATTTCTAGCTCACATAACCTGTGGAATTACATAGTACATTTTCTGCTTCCAATAGGTAACAGTCAGACTCTCTCTTCCCTCCCCCCTCCTGCCATGTCTTCAGTTGCACACATGGTTTGTACATACACAACATTTTGTCCAGTGAATCCACCACATTCTACATAAGTTTCTATGAGCTCTGTTTGGTGGACTATATTCCTTTAGGACAAATTAATAAGTAAATTTCTACTTCTAACTCAACATTTCGTGTCAAGATGATGTACAAGAGAGGTAGTGGGTGGTAAAGCCTTGGGTTTGTACCTATGGTCAGACTCCAAAGCAGTTTCCAACCCTAGAGAAATCCAAGAGTGTAAAGTGTCACCTGAGCAAAATGAATGCATTCTAAAGATCTGCTGCACAACATTTTGTTAATGACACTGTATTACATTTTAAAAGCTGTTAAGGCAATTCTCCTGTTAAGTGCTCTTACCACTACATAAAAAGCAAAACTGTATAAAGAGAAAACTATCCAGGCATGGTGGCATACACCTGTAATCACAGCACTCTGGTAAGCTGAGGCAGGAGAATTGCAAGTTTAAGCCAAGCCTAGCCTAGGGATACACAGCTTAGTGTGCAGTCCAGGGGTTCAATCCCCAGTATTGGGAAAAGGGGGACCTCAGCTTCTCCAGGTAGAGCATGAAGTCTTGAGTAAAGAAGCCAAATTCTGTAAAATTCAGTGTTAAAATCTATATAGTGAGGACAACAGCCATCTCCAACAGAGTTTGCTAGGAGTAAATGCATTAGAGTCTGACTCAAGAAGTACAGTATTCCCTTTGTTCTACTGAACATATGTATATGCAAGTATTCATGAAAGATCAGGCAAGATATTCCATATATTTTGACTTCTGATGATTTAAAAATTTAGATCAACAAATTAAAATACCAACTTACAGTACAAGAGTCTACCAAATATTTCCACGTCACAAATAATATGCAACTATATATTATTTTAATGATTACATCTCTTTGTTCTTACATAGCCTGTCAAGATCTTAAAATTATTTTCTAGAAAACAAACCTCTCCGTGGTTGAAAAAGTAGCACAGTACTGTAATTAGACCTCCTAATTGACTCCCACTGTAAAAAAACAAAGTATGAAATCATAATTCATGTAAGATGAGATTAATTTTTTAAATCTCATAATTTAAAATTATTTTTCTGCACTTAAAATGTAAGTAAAAATTTCATGTAATTCATGTTTTAATCTTCAAAGTGCAAACATAAAAATTTTATGTATACTATAATCTAAATTTCCTAATTTACTATAGTTAAAATATATTCTAAATAAAATAGATAATTTGTGGACATAAAATAATATTTAACAAGCCAGGCAAGGTAGCACACATTTATAATCCCAACACTGTGGAAGTTCATGACGGGAGGATTGCAAGTTCAAACCCGCTCTGGTTTGAATGCCACCATAAATCTTCAGTATAAACAAAGACTTTTTAAACCAACAGACTAGCACTTCAGCCTATCTCACATTCTTTGAATAATCTAAATGAGGCAGTTTTGTCTTTTGCAATTGAATTTAAGTGCCTGAGACATAGAATCTACCAGTTTTAACAGTAACAATTGTATATATTAATTTGTTGAGTCTGAAGGAAGCAGCAATGTAGAAAGGCAGTCAATAACCAACAAAGAGAGAGGACCACTTCCTAGGCCCCGCATTCACACCCACTTCAGGGCAGAGTCCCAGCCCACCACAGCTGGGGTCACAGCATTCCAAACCTCGTGCCAGCAGAATCTCTCTGGAGCTCATGGCTGCATCCCCAGCTCCACACTTGGAAGACAGTACCAGATAGATGAATGAAGAAAGGAAAGAGTCCAAAACACAAGCAGAGAAAAGCAACTGGGAAGTGGGTGATCATAAAGACTTTCACTAAAGGAAGTTCAAAGGATTATATATCAGAAAGGAAGAAGCTGAAAGAAAGAAGGTGTGAGAAGCAGGGACAGACTGCACACACACAGGAACTGTGAACGCATGAAAGAACTGAAACAACTCCCAAAATACTAGTAGTAATCCTGGCTGCTGGGGAGGGTAACACGAGCCCGGACTACGTACTAACACGTAAGACATGAGAGGGTGTTTCAGGACAGCTTCTACAATTCCATGTGGTGATCAAAGAATGGAAAAGATATGGATTCGTCTTAGATTTAATCAAGTTAAAGGTGCATGTAAGCATTTCATGTTTATTCACTTAAGGAACAGAAACAGTGTCTACATTCTATTTCTTTTGTTTCTCATATGCTTTAGTTTCCAATCTCATCACAGTTTTGGTGACATTTTTATAGACCACAATGGTCACAATCATATATCCTTCTTAAAGACTGGAGATTAGTAATTCACTTGATATTGCAGGACTGTGGAGCCAGTTTAGAGAGCATAGACTCAAGTAGCCCTCTTAGTGGAAAATACTATTCAAAAGTTTTAGTCACAGTCATGTAATATTTTCCAACTGAAAAAAGCAAGTGCAAAATACTTTCCAAAAAAAGAATATTTAAGCCTGACGAAACTAACTCAAAGTTATCCTTCCAAAGTCTTCCTATGTGGCACCCAGGAAAGTGCAAAAATATGTGTATTTATAAAAAATTATAATGCAAACATCCACCTGGCCACCATATAAATAAACGAAATAAATGATTATATGCTGAGTCTCCCCTGGACACTCCTGAGACCACAGCTGCTATCCTGGTTCTAAGATCATCAATATAACCATCAATATATAGGTCCAGCACTACTTACAAAAAGCCCATCCTCATCCATAAGGTCAAAATGCAAGACCTGCTGTCATACACCAAGCATTTTTAAATGTACATTTCTGTATCTGGTCTATTCCTGAGGTCTACCTATGTAGCATGCTGTTTTATTTACATTAGTGCTATGATACCACAATAATTGATAAAGCAAATTTTAACTTTTTCAGAAACATTCTAACTAAATTTGGCCTTTTGCATTTCTGAATAACTTTAAAATCAGCTAATGGAGTTGGCAAAATTACAACAGAATATAGACTGGTAGAGCATCAAATCTTTAAATCAACTGGGTTAACAGTCATCTCCCAATCCATTAACATTTCAATTCACTTTTAAGTTTTCCCGTAAGAGTTACACATATCTCTTATTGATTTCTTTTTTAAGAACATCATGATATTAATGCTATCCTAAGTAGCCTCCTTTTTTAAATTTTCATTTTCGTTTGATGCTAGAATATATAATCTAGGATTTTGTATATTAATTTTGTGTTCAGGTAACATCATAAATTTACTAAATGCTTCAAATAGTTTCTTATTTTATTACTTTCCACATATACAATGTGAATTACTTTTCAAAAATTTTATTTCTGTCAAGTTTTCCAAGCCTTACTCTTTTTCGGGCCTATATGCTGGATAGGATCCCAAATACAGTGTCAAATATGTCACTAATTTTCACTGATATGCCAAAAATTCCTAAAACAAGGAGTATATATACATATTAATCTATATTAACATAAGCCTTGTGAAATTCAGTAAATATTTATTGAATGGTTAAATCTAGATTTCTAACTGTAAATGTTTTGAATTTCATGAATAACATTGTAAAGAAAGCGGTTGACTTAATGTATTTCTGAGAGAACTGAAAACCCTGACAAATGTGGCTGAAATAGTGTGAGTGTTCACTGTGTCATCTAACCAATAAATAAAGAGGTAAATATCGGTACTGGTTCAGCAACGCAAGTTATGTTAGGCCAGAAAGGTCTGCTTTGGATGGACTCTCATGGCCACAAGATGACTGCTATGGCCCCAGGCATCACTTCCATGTCAAGTATGAAGGAACAGAGAAGGGACTGTGGACCTCATCCCTTTGTGAGAAAGCCAAATATTTTCTAGTATATGTGCTGCCAAAGCGAGCACAGGAGCCTACATACTTCCTGAGGCTGTTTGTTTATCACTGGCAAAACCTAACTCACAGTGCTCCGCTGAGAAGCAATACAGCCTGAGAGGGAAGTGGACGGCTACAACAAATAGCTTCAGCTTATCATCTGACCCTGGGCACTGTTCCTCCGAAGTTGTGCTACCGTTACCAAAAAAGATGGGCTAACAAATGTGTCTGCCACCAATGATACAGTTTTTTTTATATAGTTTTCTTAATTCCACATTTACAGAGAGTAAAATGAGAATAAATTAATTAATACTAAACAGAGATCCTTCTAATGCTATAGTAAGTTACAGAGGGAGAAAGGTATTTTCATTAAAACCTTGACTGAAAAATTATAATAAAAAGCATCGCCACAAGTATAAAAGTCAGGCTTTATTCAGGGTATTCTTTTAGTGACATTTTCAGGTTTTGGTTGCATGACATTGGCTAAGCACCATAAAAATCAAATATTTCTACAAATGTTCTACTACTAATCAATCAACCTCATTAATTCGTCTCATGTAATCAATAATTATCAGCTGGCCTTATAGGCTCAGTAAGATCTTTTACCCAGAGTCTTACCTCAAGTATGTAGCATAGATGAACAGCAATGCCATCATGAGCCCATTCAAGATAAAAATCACACCCACATAAAAGCAAGCAGGGTCTCCCAATCCTTTAAAAAGACAGAGGTTATTTAGCATTTAGTGAACAAATGGTCATAAAGCAAGGGAGAGTGATTATCTCAGTAATTTTTACTCACAAGTTCATGAATTTGCTGAAAGCATTTGCTTTCAGATTAACACTCTGTTTCAATAATCTTGACCCATATACAAAGTGTGCGGGGCGGTGCGGAGGACAGGTGGGTTTGTTGCTGTGGATGTAACCCAGGGCATTGTGCCTTCTAGGCAAGGGATCTACCACAGACCTCCAGCTCCAGCCACTATAATGAATCTTTTAGTTACATCTGTAAGTTCCCTGAGTGAAGTATTCTCATACAGAGACAAATGTTGGGGCTTCTCATTAATGAAGATGCTGCTGCTCATCCTCAATGTCTGGAATTATCTGTAGAGTCACTTTCTGCCTCCCAGGAAAAAGTCCCTGCACTATTTTATCATTTCTAGGCTGTGGGATGAGTAAGATCAAGTCTTTGACCTCAAGGAGCAGCTTTAGTCTGATGATTCAGTTATTTGATCTATTATTAGTAACAGCTGGAATTTTAATATATCCCACATGTAAGACTGTGTATAGAACTTATTTACTTTATAATCATCATTTCACATAATTCTCAGGCAAAACCAAAGAGGCTGTCATAGATGTATTTTTATGGTTTAGAAAACAAATAATAGAGAACTTAAATAAAGCTTCCCCTGTCGTACTGGCTGGAGCCAAACCTGAAGGCTGGCCTTTGTGACTCTCCCACCTTCCTGGCCACACCTTCCAGTTTGTCCTACAAGAACTTCTCATTTATGCTCCTCCCCTTCAGTGCTGGCTCTCCTTAGCCTCTGGGGCCTGCTTTCTTCTCTTCTCAATCTACATATTGTCTTTAAGGAAATTCTTATACTCCTGCAGATCTAAATATCATCTACACAGAGATGAGTTCAAGTCTATACACAGCTCCAAACATTCTTATTCCTAAAGTTCTCTCTCTAGGCATCCCTGTGACATCTGTATCTAAGGTCTGAAGCTAATACATCCATGGTGAACACAGCAATTCATACCTGTACTTGTCATGTTTCCTACTGTTCAAGAAATTCAAATAATCAAGCTGGAAACCAGCGTTACAGGACTTTTTCACTCTCCTACGTCCCTCTCTCATCAGCTACCAAGTTTTGTTGATTCTACATTTGAGGAACCACTGAAGACCTGATGTTTCACAGCTCTCTCTATACATACAAACCATGTGGCCTCGTGGGGGCCAATGGTATCCTTTCCAAACAACCACGAAAACAATGCTCAAGGCAAGAATCTGTTGAAGTTCCTCAGAGAATAAAGGCCAAAGACCTTACGCTTCAATTCACCAATAAAAAGGAACATAAGCACAGTGGATCGAGAGACAGGATCCATCAATATGCTGTATACAAGAAACACATTTGGCTTGACAGGAAATTCATGGACTGAATGTTGGAGAGGAAAAGACAATTCTCCTTGCAACAAGGACCTGGAAGAAAGGATGAGTAGCTTGCCTATCAACCATAGGATAGGTAAGAAAGATATGGCAGGAGATACAGAGAAGGATAATCTTGAGGGCCAGGGATTTAGCTCAGTGGCATAAGCACCTGCCTGGCAAGCACGAGATTGTGAGTTGATCCCCAAAACAAAACAAAACAAAACAAAAAAGTTACTTAAGCAAATTAAAAATAAAAATAAAAGGGAAATATAGATTACTTTATATTCCCACAGTTGAATATTATTTTAAGCCAGTCTATAAAAACATATTTATAAAATATAGCAAATAGTCATGTTGTGGGGAATGAAAGAAGTAAGGAAACAATTGTCTAAATGCTATTCCGGGGGGCATATGTGATTCTGCACAAGAGTTCTAAGGCACAGCATGGTCTGTGGGTTATCAAAGAGCTGAACTGCACACACTTTAAGCAGTAGTGACCACTGCAGGTCCTGGAGAACTGTTATAGAAATCCCAAAGCAGGTATTGGTCAAGGAAACCAATAGAGAAGATATATAGGAAGTGTGTGGCTAAAATGATCCACCAGACTGTGAGTGTATAATAAAGTGATGTCACTACAACCTGAACCTGATTTTTTAGTATGTTTGTGCTACTTCGCCAATACGCTATTACAAGTGTATTTGCCTAAAATGTATATATTGAAGTTGCCCAAAACACTGTTATTTGTATTATCTCATTCTGATTTGCAAGACTTTTACTCAAATTTGCCTTTTATGGGCTAAATTAATACATAAATTAAATGCCAAATTTACATTCAAGTTAGAAAATACAGCGCCTTCTCAGAAAACTGAAGCACAAAATAATCATGAGGACAAATCATTTCTAGTGTGTTTAAAGGAAACCATGAGACACAGATGTTTATATACAGTGATTCTCGTGTTTATGAAAGCCCTAACAACACTACATCAGGGTTTCAGGGAGACACAGACCTTCACAGCTCTCCACTTCACTAGGAACTCCCATTCTGGTCACATTCCAGCAGGCCTTAGTTTCTATACCAAATAAATTTGTTATTCCTGTGAATATGCGGTACCAGTAAGCTAGGACTACCTACAAAAGACAAAACAAAGAGATAATGGAAGAACATATATTCTCTTCATAACAACATTTCAAAATGCCATTTTATGATTTTGATAAATTTATTTAAATCATCTCACTTAGTAGTCATTTAAAGTGTATGTATATACCTTATATAGTATTAATATATAGTAATCAATTCTGTAACATAAATAACTACATGTAAGTCAGACATGGTGGTGGACACCAATAATCCCAACACTGTTGAAGACAACACTGGAGGAATGTGACTTTGAATTCATCCTGGACAACTTAACTGACAGTAAGATACTGTTTGAAAATAGAAAAATTAAGGACTGCGATGTATTCTGGGTTCAATCCACAGGACTGAAAAAAAAAGCCCTTGTAGAAGATTATAATTAAAATATTGTAATTAATACAAAAATACACATATTTGTAGGAATATGTGATAACATTTCCTCTGGGTCTTTGAATTTATTTCTTCATTAAACTATATTATTTTAAAACTCCTTTAACATTTGGGTGGCTGTCTTTCTAGTCACCTCCCCTGAATTTAAAGCATGCAGTAAAAGTTACTTACATCACATACTAAGATCACAGTTTAGATAGTAATAGAATATACACCATTAAATGACAGCATAAACACCTTTCCATTAAGTATAGATTTACTATTTTGTTATTTTTAAAAATGTAATATTCTGCTAAAATATATCACATTATTCCTATTCTTGTGCATTTTTCACACATACACAGAAGTACTAAATTAAAGTGCACACTAAATCTGGAATTCTAATCCTCTGTGGGGTGTACTCCTACCCAAGGAAAGCAGGGCTTTCATATCAGATTGGAACTGAGACACTGAGTTTTGCCCATTACATTATTTCTGACCTCAAGTCAACCTTCAACCTTTAAGCTTCCTGTGCAAGAGGGAGGAGAGATGAGGGTATGAATAGAAAGTGCTGGCCCATAAAAGCATTAAATACTTTTTCAAAATATTGCTCTAACCTTAGGTTTCTAGCTTCATGTGAGAAATTAATCTTTTTTATTTTTTTTTTTTGTACCGGGGATCGAACTCCTGACCTTGCACTTGCCAGGTGAGAAATTAATCTTGTGAGGACAAAAGGAACAAATATACAACTTGACACTGTTGTACTACCTGAAAGTTGGCTGTAAATCTAGCTCTTCTTGATATTGTGTTTATAAAAGGTGAAAATAAGATTCAGAACAACTGGTTATCTATCCTTTATAATGCTATCAAGTTTTAGAAATCATTGCAATATAAGAAGAAACTAAGAATGTTGTTGAATAAATGAAATAAAAAGTAGTTAAGGTCTCTAAGACTATCCTTTTAGAAATTAATGGAACAAAAATAGATTTTATTACATATTTGAAAAATCCAAAAATAAGCAAAAATTTAAAACAGTAATTATTGACCACTAGAACAAATCCCCATCTTTTATTTGCAAAGTAAGTATTATCTTAAGTGGAAGATATAAGAAACAGGCATTTTGTCTGATTCTTGCATTAACCATAGACAGACAATCATAAGATGAAATACATGAAATCAGAAGCATGCCTCTGGCAAATAATGCAAGATACAGAGAAAGTTGGTGCAGAAACTGTTTCTATCATTCTAGGCAGACTGTGCCAAGTACTACTATGACAAGTGACATTTTAAAACATACAAATCTGGGAAACTTCCAAATACTTGAAACTTAAACAACATAATTCTAAATATACAATGGATCAAAGAAAAATAACATGGGAAATTAGACAATACTTTAAACTGAATGAAAATGAAAAAATATACAAATACTGTGAGTATGTGCTTTTGGGGCAATGAAATACATGTGCTTTTCCCTATTACTCCCCCTAAGAACAAATAGAAGCTCTATGTATTACATACAAAGCTTAAAACTATTCTTGGAAAGTGGAGAAGCAGAAGTAGATGTGGAACCCAAAAACTAACGTGATTATTAGTTCCCTAAGCTTCCTTTTTGGCCTCATTTTCTCAGATCTGGAGTTCAAGAACCCCAACAATCCACAAACACCAATGGGCCCTGCAATAGTATGAATGCACTCCCTGCAAAACTCAGGTGTTAAACCCAGTTGTTAAACCTTAATGACAGCACAAAGAGGTGGGGATCTGAAGACTCCTCTTTTGTGAATGAGATTAAGGTTCTTACAAAACAGGCTTCCTGTAGAGTTTGGGCTGCTTCCCTTCTTCTACCAGAAGACAGGGCCCCTTGTCCCCAGGAGATGCAACACCACATCCAGAGGTCATATGACAATAGACAGCAATCTCACCAGACAACTGAGCCTGCCAGGGCCTTCATTTTGGACTTTTCAACATTCAGAATTTCCTTTTCCTTCAGCTAAGCCTTTATAGTGGGAGTTTGTGTTCAACCAGTCCAGGAGATGGGGCTGAGTTTAAAGTCTGTTGTTGCTATGATTCCCAGAACTGAAGTCTGTTGTTACTATCAACACAAGAGATATCAAAGAGCTACCAAGGTACCATGTCTTTAGCTGAGTTTTGAGTTTGCCTTTTTGTTTTGTGGAAAGAAAGAAACTATTCCTCGCAAGCCACCCAATATGGAACAGGGTATACCTCAGTGGTAGAGCATGTGCCTGGCACTAAAAATCAAAACCTCACCCAGCTCTATTCCACTGTGATATTTTTATTCATAGCTCATTTATACAGTACTTGGGGTGGGGAGAGATTTTTTTGTCTTAGGCAGGTATAGTGAACTGGGATCTTGCAGCTATGACCTCACAGGTGGTCCTAGCCCTTGTCCAGGAACACAGCTACTTTTTATTCTTTTTCTACCTTCTCTGTCAGTTGCATTATGTACTCACCAATGTCCTCCTCAAGCTTTGTACTTTCTCCCCACAAGTCGTAGCATATTTTAATTAGAAACTGGGAACGTGGGTTTGAAGGGACAGTGCTGCTGTTCCTCCCTCACTGGCACAGGGCAAACATTCTCTATACTTTCTCCTGCTTCCCCACAAAAGCCTGTAACCCCAGGCTTTGCTTCTCACACTACCTCACACTAAGCCTTTAGCAGTTCATTAAAATTGTCTAGCTTAATCTCCTGTTGGTTAATGTGGCATTTGGTAGCATCTACCCCATCTATGTTCGGTCCAACTTCTCTCTCCAAACCCCCATCCTTCTTGGATTTTTTTTTTTCTGTTTTTGCTCTGTGACTTCAGTTTTTTGAGGTGTTCAAGAAAGTGCATTAACTTAGAGTTTGTCTAACTTTTTTCTTGTGGAGGAGAGTGTCACTGTTTCCAGCTCTCTTCATCTCCAAACCAGAAGAACAAACAGCTCTTTTCATATTAAGACAGATCAGCCCTTCTTCTGTGACTTGGATTACAAATGTTTTCTCCCAGTTTCTCAGTTGTCTTTTGATTTCGCTGGTGCATTTCTTACTCTACCCTGCTTTGCCTGTCCCATAGAACTCCCACAAGAGCTCTGGCCGAGGTTCTTCCCTTGTGTTTGCTTCTCTGGTCAAATTGGTATTTCCTTGGTAGCCCTGGATGGCACAATGTGTTCCCTTCCCTGGGGAAAATACATACCATCTGACCTGTTTGTGCCACCATTCAGTCAACTGTGAAACTAAGATCTGGGCATGTAATGACTCTATATACCTCTTTTTATAAAGTTGTACAAAATGTAAACTAATCTATATTGACCGAAAGCATACTGGTGGTTTCCGAGGGATGGGATGTGGGCAGAAAACAGCAGGAAGAAGAGATTACCATGGAGCACAAGGGAACTCCTGGTATGATGGACAGGACCACATCTGGTTGGCAGAACAGCTTCATGTGTGGGTGCTGGGGTCAAATCATATCAAACTGAATTATCTCACAAACGACTAGCTATGGTAAGCCAATTATCGCTAAATAAAGCTGTTTTAAAGTGCTTTCAAGTATATGGAATGGAAACAAAGGAGTAAAACTGTCTGTATTTATGGCCAACATCATCATATACAAAAGAATTTACAAAAAGTTCCTTAAGCTACAACACCACAATTGCAACTCTGTACTTGGCTGAGAAAATCCTGCACATGCACATGAGGAAGCACCTACAGAAGCCTGCATTTAGAACTGCTGGTAACAGGAAGATTAGAAGTAGCTTGGGGGCTGGGGATTTGGCTTGGCTCGGTGGCAGAAGTGTCTGCGTGACAAGCGCAAGGTTGTAAATTCAATCCCTGGTACGAAAGAAAAAAAAAAATCTTGGCATCTACTAATAGGGAAATGTAGGAAAAAATTGGAATTTATTAAACAGTTGAAATTAAGGAAATAAATATTCATACACACAGAGTTTACAAACATATGTAATGCCAAGGAAAATGCTATAGAGGGGCATATTCAGTATGAGGGTATTTATGGGGACTCAGGAACACATAAAACCACACTTGAAATGGACCAGATGAATCCATACACATTTAAGATAAGGGACCCTGAAGGAAGAGGAATAAAGCATCTGGGTCTGGGAGTAAAGGTGACTTTGGTGTTACTTAAACATTTAAGTTATTTTAAAAATCTGGAGCAAAAATGACAAAAGACTAACCTTTTCTTATTTTAGTCTAGTGGCTGATCAAGCATAGCTGAGTATTATTCTCTAAGTTTCTATACTCTTAAACATTTCAAAATCTAAGTAACTTTAAGCCTATTAAATATGACTACCAAAAATTAAGTAACTTACACTTAATCTCCCATAGCCTGAGATAACTTGAAACTCAAAATTCAATGTTTACCGTAACAAATTCAGTATCTATCTTAAAGATCTACAAATTGAGTTTACTAAGCTTTTGTTGTCGCTTTTCAAATCTATCAAATTTGCGTAATTCCATTAAAATCATACTAAATTTTAGGAGGATATCCAGATACTTCTGGATACGTGGCTAAATATTTTTAAAAATCTTTTGTCCTTTGGCACTGTGATCAAACCTCTACCACTTAAGCTACACTCCAGCCCCTTAAGCCTTCCTTCACAAATGTAACTGTCGCTGTAAGGCCACTGTCCTGCTCTTCTTTTGCTGGCCCTTCATGTGGTCACCGTGCCCACCCACAAGGTATCCAAGGCCCACAGACCCAGAGAGAACCCTCTCTAGCACTCACGACTTCCCTTCCCATTTGCTGGTTTATTACCTGGTCACATCTCCTATGCTAACATTTACTCCTTAAATTCTCATGAATGTTGTCACTGGGATCTTTATGTATTCAACTACAGGAACATCTATAATCAATCAACTTAAAAGGTCAGAATTTTTATCTGATTAAAAGAAGAATCACACCATAGTATTATCTGTCTCATGTATCACTCACCTCTGGATAAAGATGGAATCGTTTCACTGTATTAATTACAAGGGGATATTCAGTAAGTCTGTCATTCATAATCATCCACAGGCCTTCCAAAAATGAAGGTGCTTCAATAAGGGTCTTGAAGTAAGAATAATAAAGTCCCTTTATAAAAACAGAAAAAGGTGTATACGGTCAACAGAAATAAAACTTTAAAATATTTTATTTCACTTTAAGCTTTTTATTAATGCCGTAAATACTGCAGAGTGATGGGGTTTGCTCTGGAGATCTGCACATGCACTTAACATTGTTGATCACTTTCAGTCCCACCCAGCTCCTTTCCCTGTCTGCACCCTTCTCAGTGCTGCCCTTCTCTGTGTCCAAGTCTACCTTCCAGTTTCCTGCCTCCTCTCCTTTACCTCTCATCATTCATTTGATTTCTCAAATAAAACATGTATATTTAACTTTCTCAGTGGGATAATTTCATTTACCATGATGATTTCTATTTTTCCTTTAAAAGATGTAATTTCACTCTACTGCTAAACAAAAATATTTTTTAAAAATATTTTAGAACATAATTTTCTGAAAAAAGAGGACAGGTCTATGATAAGAATTACTAATTACTCCTCCCTTTACATTAGTGGATTAAGAAATCCGGTATTTTCAGTGTTCATCAGCTATTCCTTCAATTTTCCTATAAACTGAAAATTTTCAAACCAAAGCATCTGAGGATATCAAATGTTTCAATAAACTTTTATTTTCCCTCTTTCTTTCTCCTTTTTGTCCAATTTTTTTTTCCTGGATCAAACTCATAGTCTTGCACTTGCCAAGCAGGCACTTACACCACTTAGCTAAATTCCTGGTCCTTTGTCCAGTTTTTGAGACAGAATTGTTCTTACTATGTAACCCAGGCTGGCTTCAAACTTGTAATGATTCTCCTGCCTCAGCTTCCCCAGTGCTAAGATTAGAAGTCTGCACCACCACACCTGGCTACCTTTTCTAACAGTGATATAAATTACACATATGATATAATTTTGATTTTAGCAAACCTGATTTTACTCCATGTTTAAAATGTGTTGGATTATAAATTCTATTATAAATAAAGATGACTTCATGACCTTGCAAAACTTGGTATACACTTACTCCCTTTTCCTCATACTCTCAAGAAACAGCATGACATGATCACAAGCACACCGTGGGAACAGAACTTTACACCTGAGTCTTACTCCACAGCCCCGTGTGCCTCTTACACAAAGTGAAAGGTAAATGCCAGGTGGTTTCTGATGCCCACAGAGGTGAGTGGAGAGGTGGCAATCTTAGTGACTCTCTCAGTGTACAACATCATGGCTCCATCAGGTCATAAGACCATGGCTAATTTAAAACTCAAAGGCATTTTTTACCATTTTTTGACAGTTAGTGTATGCTTGCAGTACAGGCAGTTTATACACATCTGGGGAGACGATACATGTATACAGTACAGTTTGATTCTTGATTCTTTAATAATCCCCTTTCCTCACTCCTCCCTCCCCCTTCCTCTTATTCTTCAGTCCTCATTTTCATTCTTGTTAATATTATTAATCTTAGCTTTTGTTTATGATATATAATGCTTACATTCATTAAAGGTAAAACTCAAGGATTTTTAAAAATCAGGTTGTTTCATATTATTTCATCATTTTGACATTTTCAAATAAAATTTAAAAATAAGAGGCCATATCATTTATAAAAGCAAATAAAGGGTCAAACTCTTTAAAAGGGTCAAACTGTTTTAGTTCAGATCTCTTTGGTTATAAACAATGACCATGCACTAATATTTTGTTGCTCTTATTGTTATCTTGTTAAAGATGTTAAAATTTAGTAATTTCTTTGTGTATAAGAAGAACAAAAACGAAACAACCAAACATTTAAATTAAAAGTTTGCATTGTTCAAACAGAGGGTAAAACTGTTTGACAATCTCTGCAAAAATTAAAAATAATACACATCAACTCTGCATTCATTCTAGTTTTATTTCCCTATTTTATTTTTTACAAAGAATCTTTTATCCTGAATTAGACAAAATCAAAATACTATGTATTTGCAAAATTTACTGATCCTACATTTTTAAATTCCATGATTATGTGACAGCCTATTAAAAACCTGAGTTCACTCAATTTTTTCAGTATATAATTTATCTCTACTGACTATAATCATAAAGTGGTAAGCACCAACAGTACAATCACATTCATTTTCACACAGCACATTCAGTAAAACCACAAGATTCTGTGTCTGATGACTACCTGGCCACTGGGCAGCATTCAGTATCACTTCCATTCATCAAAGACAATACTTTATTCATTTCCCAAACTGAGTTATTTGAATTAAAGAAAAAAATGCCAAGTTAAAATATGAAAACAAGTATTTTTTCACTTAGTGGGCACTGGAGCCAGTGCACACACTCCAATCAAACATCTGTCCCACGTGACATATTTCACTGAGGATCTACAAGGTCAAGGTCCTTGCGCTTGCTTTTCTTTGCTTTCCCCCTTTCCTGTATTTTTTCCTCAGTGCTGCAGATGGGACCAGGGCCGTGAGGACATTAGGCACCTGGTCTGGTCTACCACCGTCCCCTTCCCTGTCGCTGGCCTCGGCCCTGTCTCTGCCTGGGGCGCATCCATCCTGTCTGGGTTCTGTCCATGGTGGCCTGGAAGTTTTCTAGCTTTCTATGTGTCCATCTCCATTTTCTCGTCATCTTTTCCATCTTTAACCACACACTGCATTTTCTCCTGGCAGCGCTTGGGAGCCACCAGCTGCTATCCTGCACATTTCTCACTCAGACACCACACTCTACTCTGAGAATACTTTTAAGTGGTTGAGCTCTTCCAGGGCATTGTCTTCTCTTTCCAGAGCCCATCTTCATACAAACTCCCAAGTGCACAAGCTGCAGCAGATCCTGTGAACTAGAAGTCCACTGTTTTACTTTTGATAAGCTAAATAACAACAGTAGCTTTTAAACTGAAGATGTTTGAACTGGTATCTGACAGGCTATCTGATAGTTTTGATTGGCAAAATATGAATAGAAGTCTTCTTGTGGGGTACAAGAAAGTATTACAAAAATTCAAAGACATCTAATATGAAAAAACCTGTGTACAGAGAAGTAGTAAATATATAAGATGAAGTGTGAGCCAAAAATACACTGAATGTTAAATTTTAAAAAATTATTGCAGTAAGAGATACACTGCCATGAATACCCCTCAAAATACTCATTTTCACTATAAACATATTTATCCCATTACTCTCACCAGTTTCTGGAACAGTTCTGGAAGTCCTCTTTGTGGCTACCTTTATGTCCTGAATCCATTCAAAACATTCACCAGAGTGGTTACTTGGACTTTAGAGAAGAGTCCGAAGTTGCTGGGTGCCAGATCCAGTGAATAAAGTGGATGAGGACACATTATAATGTCTTTAATTGACAGAAATTTAAAAGTATTGGACATCAAGGCAGCCAGGAGAGCACAACTGAAGACAGTCACAAAATAGAACTTCTACAACTACTTCAGAAAATGCCAACCATGATGGGTAAGTGTGTTATCTGATGCTAGGGGGAATATTCTGAGAGGGAATAATGGCAATATGTCCTTTACTTGGTACAGTTTACTTCCAAAATGTCCCCCAAAGCCTCATGTGTTTGGAAGATGACTGGATTATGGGGTCATTATAGCTGATGTGCTGTTAGGGGGCGGGCCTGCTGGGCAAAGGCAGCCCTGTGGGCACAGCTCCTCCCTTGCCTCCCTCCCTCTGCTTCCTGCTGCCTAAGAGCTGAGCAGCCTCTACCACGCCATCCTGCCTTGGAGCCAGCGGCTAGGGCTAAAACCATGAGCCAAAATAAACTTTTCCTCCTTTAAGAAAAAGAGGACTAACACATACTATCACACATTTTTAAAAAAATTTTAACATTCACCTTATATTTCAATGACACTATGTAAGTTGCTATTGTAAGATATTGTTTTGTTCCAGGTAGTGTGATTTGTATCTCTGTCCATCATCTCCCTTCATTTTCACTGAAACCTGTGTGGTGGGTGTTATTTCTGAATAACCTATGAGATGACTCAGAACCAGGCAGGTAAGTGACTAGCCTACAGAGTACAAAGAATCCTACAAATGCTATCTGGACTGGGTGATCTGTCTCCCAGGCTAGGCTGCCACAGCTACCCTCTTTACTTAACACACTTTATATCCTGTGGAAATAACACTTTTAAAATACTGAAATGCCATACAAATGTTAGCATATCCAGTTCTTCAAATCACTGCTGGGAATAAAAAGCAGCAGCTGAAGTACCTAGCATTCTGGAAAATTCATGTAGGCAAAAAGGAGAAATGTGAAACACCAGTCCCTGGAAATCCACTTCTGTTTCTAACAGATTTCTACTTCACAGTCTTACTCTTCTTAATGCACAAATTAACTCCACGGAGAAAGAACTGACCATCTCATCGCGAAAAGACATCTCCCGTTCCAAAGTTGAGAGGTGAGAAAAATGACGGTCATTCTCAAAAAGTGTTGTTAAATGTATCCTGGGGAAAAAACGAAATAGTACAATGTAAACATAACATAAATATTATAAAATCATAATATTATATAATTATACTATGTAATAATTCTAAGATTATAATAAGAACAGATTTCCAAATCAGTACTGCAAAGTCACAGATAAGCAATGTAAAAAAGCCATGAAAAGGAAATATAATTTTGTAACAAATACTGAGTCAATGTTATACAAACTTACTATGTTTAGGGGCATATGTAATCCAGGGTAGCACACATATGAAATCCCTTCACTCTGTTCTTAAACATACTTGTATATGTATCTAAAGTCCCTGCGGCTCTCCCCCCTCTTCCTTCTGCCTCAGGCTGCTAAATGAGAACACAGGCAGGTTTTTCTTGAACAAGTGATTCAAATGTAGTAGATTTGAGAAATGCCTCTGAGACTGCTGAAAAGTACTCAGAATATAATGTTAAGTAAAAGCACTCTACATTAAATCAGTTTTTAAATAAACATAACATCACATAAAGGATCAACTTTAAATGCAAAAGAATATAGGACTGAACTGGAAGATATTGTAGTAGTACAACTCAACAGGAACAGGCAGTGACAAAAGGGTCATATATGACAAAACAAATTAGTTACAGTCAGCAATTATGCTATACTTAATTTATGTAGTGCTTTTTAATGAAGTGAAAAGAAAGAAAAATTCCAGTTCCCCACTCACTATTCCTATGTGGGTCATATGTACCTACTGTACCAGGGGTCCTGCCTCCTGCCATCCCAACTTTAGTGCTGACACCCAGAGCTCCCTGTGGGCCCAGCGGCCACAGTAGCACTGTGCCAACAGAACAGGGGCAGACCTCACCCTTCCCAACAGCAGAAGCCCCAGAGCTCAGGGGAAATGAGAGCATTCCAGAGGCAAAATATCCTGATTTTCTCTATGATTATTACAAATAGATCTATAAAATAAAGTGCCTATGTATACCCAAAGGTTCAGAGTTACGCAAATTTTGCCTCACCCCAGCAGGAAGGAACCTTTTGTTACTGCTATTGTTTTGCAAACTGGGAAGTTTGCTAAAGGCTATATACTTATGTCACTAACACAGTTCCTGTAAAATGAAGAAACTATTAAGTAAATCGCAAAACACAGTAGCAAAAGTAGGTATTTCAAGAAATATAGTGGCAAATTCTTGGGAAAAGCAAAAGTATTATAATTCACCTTTTATTATTTCCCCAATGCATCTATTTTGTAAATGCTATTTCATACAAATCTGTGCAGTAAAAATAATACATGTGTAAACTAATATATTCTATGCATAGCCAGGAACTGTTTTACTGTATACAAATTGAAGTGGAACATTTTAATCCAATTGTTTATTTCAAACTGAAACTAAATCTTACCAATGCAAAATTCCCAGAAAGGCAGCTGAAAGAAAGAGAAAAATAAATGTCATTAGAAGCTGCTTTATAAATTCCTTTAAACCAAGCATTTCAAATGCACTTGCTTCCATGTCTTACAGAGAGCACACACAAGGCCAGGTGGCCGACTGCTTCTGATCTAAGAGCACAGGGACAACTCTAGGGCCTGCTGCAAACTGTGAGTCCTGCCAACCTCTCCCATGCTAAGGGGGACCAGACATAAGCAAAAGGAGAGGCTGGGAAGGTCTGTCTCTCCTTCTGAGGTGATCTGTGAGAGAATGATGAAGAGGATGACTTTGATCTGCTTTTTAGTATTATTCTCTATTGTCTCTTATTCTGTATTCCTTTGTATAAAATTCTCAAGAGAAACAGATACAGACACTATGCTCAGTGAGACTCTTTTAGGAAAAGCCTAACCCATAGGAACCACCTGAACTCCACCTCTCTCTCATGAGAAGATGGTTAAAGGCTGCAAAGCTCTTCCTCATTACAGCAGGTAGAGCCCACCTGCACCGCCAGCCCCGAGGAACTGTCAGCTCTCCTGAGCTCTGGGGCCCAGGCACCAAGATGGTCCAGCACACACCCTGTGCCTGAAGCTGTACAGAGCCGTGAGACCGATCCACAGAGACACTGCCCTCAGAGAGGCTTAATGAAGAGCTGCACTCTTTAGGCCGTCTCTGCCACTGGAAAGCTGCGTGTTTCCAAGGAGAGCATGGGGCTGAGGGGAGGAAATGGAGGTGGAACAAATTGTAAAAAATCACAAACTTCTAGAGGTCCCCCATTTTCTATTGAATTAATATTCTTTGGGTTGATGTAAGCTCTGGGTTAATTTCCAGAGTTTTGAAGACACTGATTTTGACAATTTTTCAAGTATCCTCTCCTCTCTGTCATGGAAAAATGTGTTTACTTAACTAGTTAACAAGTGCCACTTCCTTTCAAGATTTTGTAATGGTATTTCTTTGGATTATCTCAAGCCATCATACAAACTACCAACTTTAATCTTTTAAAAAATTCAAAAGTTGCTTGGCTTGGCTAACAAAACAAATTAAAATTCAATTAAAATTATAATGTTGAAATTTCTAATCATGTATCTTTCCCCATATGTCTTCTAACTTTGGGGTCATTTCAAACACAAGATATATAACAAGTAACAGAAGGTTTAGCTGTTACATAACTTGTTTTATACTGGGATGGGCAAACTATAGTCCATGGTTTGTTACTCCACCACCTGTAGGTTGAAAAGTTTTTAATGTCTTAGGTTATGATAATAAATAAAAAGGATGATTAAAAAACAGAATGTGGCCTGCAAACTTAAATGGTTTACTCACTGGATATTAAAAAAAATTATTTTGGGGGCTGGGGATTTAGCTCAGCGGCATAAGCACCTGCCTTGCAAGCAGGCGGTCGTGAGTTTGATCCTTGGTACTGATAAAAATGAAAAAGACAAAAAAAAATTATTTTTGATGACACTGGGACCTCAGGACCCAGGGTATGCTAGGCAAGTGATCTCAGCCCTAGGATGACACTTTTTATCTAAAACACTCAGAACGACTCTGAAATTAAAATTAAACCTCTCTAAACTCCAAGCAGATGTGTTTCTTCTATGCTTCATTAATTGTAAGAAATCTATCACCTGAAACTATCTCACTTACCCAATGTAGTACACAGTATTTCTTTCTGAAAATTACTGTCAAATTTTTACATATGGTACTTATAGAAATAGAAAAGATCACTTACACTAGCAAATCCATCTATCCTATCAAAAGGATAGATATCCATCTATCTTATCTCAAAGATTTCCTTCCCATATAACCAGAAACATTTCCCCTGAGCCTTTCGGTGACAAAATTCTTGGCCTATTTCTTTCTTACAAGGTTTTCTCTCTTAAATCACCAACAAACATTTTTGTCCTAAAAAGCAATGTCCTCATCCAATTTTTAAGCTTTTCAATCTTCCTACAGTATTTGATCAGATACTATATTTTTCTCTCTAACCTTCTGTCAAATCTATTTTCCTAGTTCTATTTTTCTAAGCACATATTATTACACACTTAATCTGGTTTTTCCTTCCTTTTTTTCTCTTACAGTTTAAAGTTTTCCCAAAGTATATTTACCAAAGTACATTACCAAAGTACATTTTTCCTCTCCACACTGATATCCTTTAACAATCTCATCCAGTATTAAAGTATCATTCCACTTTTACAAAGATAATTTCCAAATCCACTATCTCATTCCTGAATGACCTTTATCCTTCTTCCTTTTCCCTTCCTCTCTTTATCGACTACATCATCTATCTAGTCCTTTTAATCTGTCTCAACAAATCTCACCTCTGTTCTCTCCTCTGCAATCCCTACTCTCACCACCCTCCTTTATACCATAGCAGCCTGGATTCTATTAGTGGTTTTCCAAACATTGCTTCTGTCTCCTTTCTCAGTCCATCCCCAATACACCTATGCAACAGCCTGGTTCATTGTGAACCACACTTCTGATGAATCGCTCTCCTATTTAAATATCATTTGGCATACTGAATGCCACTGAATTTAAAATGGTTTATAGGGTTTCATCTCATCAAAACATTTTTAAAAACCAAGACTCAATTAATACCCTCGACAGAGCGAAGTTCAAAGGCCCTGCAACCAACCATGAATCAGGCTCTCCACCACTGGGTCTCAATATTTCAGCCAACGTCCTACTTCCTTCTCTTTGAGGAACTTTATTGCTGCCTGATTGCTCTCTTACTAAGTGGGATGCTCGTGACTTCTATCCTGCCAGCCCCTAATAATTGATGGCACCAGTTGCACACAGTCAAAGCTTAGTGCTTTGTCACAATTCAAATCCTGCCTTTTCCTGAAAGTCTTCGCTGATTTTTCTGGTTTCCTTTCCTACTTTCACCCTTAAGTACGAATTCCCTCTTCTGAGTTCTGGTAACACTGCCATGGTTAGTCAGTGCTTTACAGCACTCATCAGGTGTCTTCCATGTGGCAGACCCCACGGTGCTGAAGCCCTACTGATTCTGTCTGTTGGGTGTGTTTGTGGACACAGTTACACCTGGTAAAATCCACACAGGACTTCTTATGTATCATCACTATGCCACACATGGGGACTCATTCTCATACCAGGACACCAGGCAACCAACAAACGGTGGACACCAGTGGCAATAACTTGCACTGAGACACATCCATCTACAGCCTCCTTCACATCAGCAACCACATGACCAAGGGCCTCGCTCACACAACCGGTTTCACTCGAACTGCAATTGAGTTCTGGCCCATGCTACAAAAAGGGAGAGCTGTCAATGCAGAAAGAAAAACCTTCTAATGCTTACATTTTTAAAAGTCTACTACTTTAGATATTAAAACTTCACCGCAAGATGCAAGTAAATGGTATCAATAACTAGGAGCATGCTATCTTTTTTTCTTTTTTATGGAAAAAAAGGTAAAATTTCATAACAAAATAATAGAAGAATAACTAGTTCATACAATGCATGCTGTTAATCTTTAAAGTAGTTGCACAGCGTGCAAGAGAGGGGCATAAATGCAGAGCAACATCATTTCTGTCCATGAGATGCAGCTGGGCATTTTTAGAAACTGTGACGCTGGCTGCCCTAAGGTAACTTTTGTACAGGGCTGAGCGCTGAGCCCAGGACTCTGCATTAGGGCTGAGCTCCTCCAGCGCGGCCCGTCCCCCCAGCTCCGTGCAGGCCGCAGTGCCCCCCCTGCAGGCCCGCGTCCTCCCGCCGCTCCGAACCCCCAATTCTGTGCAGGCCGCAGCGCCCCCTGCAGGCCCGCGCCCTCCCGCCGCTCACCGAGGCTAAGCCCGGCGCCGCGGCGGGTCCGGAGCTGCGGCAGAGCGCGTGCCTTCTCGCAGAGCTGCTCCAGGACGCCGGGCAGAAGCTGCGCGAGGCCGGCCAGGCGCCTACGGGCCTCGTCCACGCGCGGCTGCTTCTCCGGCTCGGGCTCCCCAGCCCCGGCGCGGGAGGTCGAGGGCGACTCCGGACCCGCCTCTGCGTGCTTCTTCCTCCTGCGCTCCGCCATCTCCACACAGTCCCGGGTCCGGGCCGCGGCCTCACGACTCGCCCACCGCCGTTACGGCCACCGTTACGCCGCCGTTACAGCCGCCGTTAGTGAGAGGGGGTCGCAACGGAGGAGCGCGCCCCCTCCCGATGCGCATGCGCCCTGCGCGCGCGCGTCCCGCGAGCCCCCTCCCAACGCCCAAATTAAAGCACGCGTGGCCCAAAGAATTGTGCTGATGTTTTTACTTTATTGTGTCTACTATGAAAAACAAAGTGCAGTTCGATAGCAAAGAAGGCCGTATCAGGGTGGATAGAGCAGAGGCTTCCAGGGGGACCTGGTCCAGGGCCACTGAGGCCGTGACCAGAAGCAGGAACCGTGCACAACGAGGCTGCGAGGACCTGGCCGGCTGGAGGGACTTTGGGGGATACGGGGAACGAGGCGGCAGGGGCTGCATCTTGGGACAGCGGGAAGTCGCGGAGTTTGCTCAGTGGTTGCGATAATGACAGAATAATGGGTAAGTGTACTTCAGGAGCCCAAGCCTCAAAAGCCGGACAGACGCTCGGCAGATGCTGCTGAGAACCCGAAACCCTGGAGATGCTGCTCTGCCTCCATCTGTCCTGCACTCTTCCGGGCACAGCCGACTTCGGATCCTCTAAGCAGACAGAAGACGACCAGGGCCCCGTGGAGGGCGCTCTTGAGCAGCAGCAGGAGGTAGGTGTAGTAGGCCGAGGTGCTGATGAGCTGCAGGCGCGGCAAACCTAGAAGTGGGGTCATGAGTTTCAGCTGCGCGTGTGACCAGCATCGGAACTGTCACAGGCGTTGATTTCTGATGACCTGCACCGAAGTGACACTACCCACCACACCCAAAGCTAAAGGTCAGCATCTACCACTTCCACCATGACCACCAAGGATGAGATTGAGCTTGCAACTCAACTTAATTAACAACTTCGGCTAAATTCACTTAGAACCTTCTCAATATTAAAGATCAGGTTCATTTTTAGTAAGTAGTCCAACTGGGGAAATCATATGGAATAATTAGTAGAATTTCTTTGCCCTCAACACATCTCTAAGTAATAACAAGTAATATTCACTAAACACTAACAAAATACTAAACATTATTGTGAAATCTTTGTAAAGCCTTAAATCTTATTTAATGTTATAACAACCTGTGAAAGAGGAGGGGAAGCTATTTTCATTGCAGTTTTTCAAACTGAGGACATAGCAGTAGTTTGCCTGATGTTTTAGTAACAGCCTCAGAATTTAATCCACCAATAATATGAGTTTAAAGAACAGATCCTTATCTACTCTGTGATTCTGCATTTCTAATTGTAATTAACACACTAAGTATAAACATAAACACACTAAGTATAAGTTTAAATAACAGATCCTTATCTACTCTGATTCTGCATTTCTAATTATAATTAACACACTAAGTATAAACATGTTGCTGATTGAGAAGCATCTGAGCTCTCATAGCCCTTGCACACATATGTAGGAAGCTGCAGTCTGTGGAAACGTGGTGGTATTCCCAGCGAGGTGAACGAAATTACAGAAAATTACACTACAAAAGATGGAAGAAAGTGGTTACTCCATATTCCCTGGGATATTCCTTGATTATGGAACACTCCGCTATCCTTTCTGCATGTTTCTCTTTGTGACAGTAATAGTACTCGTCGCTCTTTGAGATTGTACAGGAAATATGTGATGTCAGGTCACAACCAGTGACAATGGCAGGGTGCTGCAGTGGCTCCACTGCGAGCCACAAGGCCAAGTCTCTTTCTGGAGAAATTTCCATTTTAAATAATCTGTCTTTATAGTCAGAACTCAAGAATCACAAGCCCATGGGGCAGAAAACATGAAATGTGTTCCTAACTCCCTGCCCTTGGTCAGGCAGGGTTTAAGCACTACCCTGTCAGCAGCTCTTGACTTGGGATACTAAGGAAAGGTCAGCATCGTGGAGCTAAAGCTTGAAGTCATGCTCTTGGTACATAGGTAGACAGGAAGTAACAGAAACTAATACTGGTCCTGAGCCTGCTAAATGAATCCCAATGCTAGAAGTTTCTGCACCATGTGACAGGAGACTTTTGAGAATTAAAAATAACCTGAGTTCAGTGTAATTCTTCTTGGTTGGCAAATAAGGAAAGTATTACAAATGAATGTCACCCACGTTTCTGTAGCTGACCACCGAGAGACCTGGGCTGCACCCAGTGGGAACATTTTCCTCCTGCAGCATACCCATCCTGCCTCAGGGGATTGGCCTTGGGATTTCTTGCCCTATGGCTTCATCAGAGAGGAAGAGCTCAGTATGAATAAATAAGGGTATGAACTCTTTACTTGAGAGAGTGAGGTGAAACTCTAGATGTGGTTATGGTCACTTAATTTTAGTTCTGTAGCCTCATCTATAAAATGAAGGTAAAGCACTGCACCATGTGACAGGAGAATTTTAAGAATTAAAAGAGAAAATGCACACAGAAGAGACCCCAAGGCCTTCTGTATGAAAAAAGAACAACAAAGAAGAAAAGAAACGGTACATGGCAGTTCTTATCACTAGTGACTAGCTGGGAGATTTTTTAAAAGCCTAGAATTAATTTGGTATCAGACTCTTCCTAGTCATTAGAAGCAAGAGACAAGTTAAAAGTCCCTTTTTTGAAATAGTTCAGTGCACACCAGTGAGCCCTCTAATTGAAGTCATCTCATAGGTAAACTGGCCGTTTACCATGGTAACGTGATGATCTGGAGGTAATGCAGGAATTTAAAATATCACTCACTCTATTATGCAACATCTAGCCATTCTAATTTTTCTAACTTAAGCCAAGGCAACTCAGAAGTGGCAATGATCAAAGAGAAAAAAAATCACAAAGTGAAAGGTAAACATACACTAAAACTTACCAGTTTCATGTTTTAAACAAGCTTCAGAATCACCAGTGACAACTACAAAAAATGAGAGTAAGAACTTGTCAATTATGCATACCCATATTTTGACAGGTACGTATTTACGGCTGTGTATATACTTGCATCTGTACCTATGAATATACAAATGAATGATTTATATATAATATATTTATTTGCATATGTATGTACTTGCATAGTGAGTAAGTATATATAAATTCATAAACAGAAGGCGTTAAAAATATGAATGCCACAATTACAGAAATAATTGGTCTTATTGCATGTAATTCAGTAGATATGGTTTATACCTTGTATTTCTGCACATTAAAAAGTGGAAGTTCATGTAAGATATGGACTTTTTTTTCTTTTTTACCTCAAGGAAGTATATTGTCCAAGACAATCTGCAAGAAACAGTTATATCATCCCAAATCATGCCACTTTCCAAGTAACTGTTTAAATCTCCTTGACCCTTGTGGAAACTAAGGATATCAGAGGATAAAGCCCAGCTCAGAGAATCAGGATGGCGCACAGCACAAGCTTCATGTATTTGTCATCTGTCCATTTTCCACTGGTTCAAAAGGGCTGATTATCAATCGGAATAGGTACAAAATGATCTCTTCTCAGGTGCTGTGGCCTTTGGACTGTTGATTAACACTCAAGACTGTGACACACACCACGTTTCTGGAGCTTGCTAGGCCCTCTGCCAGCTGTGTGGACATGAACCTCGTTGCATCAATTGGATTGCTTTGAGACACCGTGCCTGAATCAGGAGTGGCACTGAGTGATTGGGGACAACTCTTCACTGGACCTCGTCACCCTTGGCGTGCTAACTCAACCCCACTTTCCCTCACCTCTGCATGCAGTACACAAGTAACACAGTACACATTTCTCAAGTTGCATTTGCCAATGTCAAGAAATAAATTCATTCATCTTTAATTATAAAATTTTGCTTACCAATGATGTGTAAAATAAAAATCAGAGAATCTCAAGGCCATGTGGAACTACAGTGGCCGTATTACTCTATTACTCTATTCTTTACTGACCCAGGCTCTCACTCTTCCATCTGAAATCGTTGTCAACCAAGAACTCATTTTTATAGGTTTAATTTTGTAGAACAAGATTGACATGGGTGATTTTGTTTGCCGGGCACAACATTCATGAAAGATGCACAATTGTTCTTACTTCCTCACCAAAGTCCTCAAAGGTGGAATTTCCACTTTATCACTTACCATGCGTTTTCATGTATGTTGTTTATCAAACCCATTTAACAATTCTAGGAAATATCATGTGATCTTAATATTTTGGGTAATGAAATTGAAGCTAACTTTCAGTAAATGTTTCAACTATTTTTCTCCAAAGACTCCACTGTAATTTTATAGGAAAATCGCAGGCTAGTTGTATTACCAATAGATAATGTTCAATTTTAGAAAGATGTACAATGAATGCTTTTCATTAATTCATGACAGAAAAGGTAAAGTGTTCTCTTTGAAATAACTTTTCTGGAAAACTCTATAGCATTTATGTTGATTTGTACATACCTTCCTTTAGGGGCCTAAAGAGAATCTCTTGATCCACTCCTTCATTAGCCTCGTGTCTGACGATACATTTGTGCCCTTTAGTCATGGACTCTCCAGTCACAGTTAACCAGCTAAGCTTCATGTAGGTGTCACTAGTCTTCATGGTGTCTCCCTGCTGGGATTGAAGGATTGTATTCCTGTCCTTTTCTTTCCAATATACCTTAATAACATCAGGGGAAAAATTCTCCAGAAGACAAAGAAATGTCCCAGCCTTGTGGAGAATTGTTTCAGCCACTGAAGGAAGAAAAACAGTGGGCTTGGGGGAAATACCGCTGTTAAAGCTTTGACCTGTGAGGGAAATAGAATATCAATAAATACAGTTACTAGGCCAGCAGAAGTGCCGTACGTTGTGAAACAACCTCATCACAGCAACAGGAAGACAAAGTGCCATTGACTGAGTGTCCACCATGGTGACCTTTCACCCCATCTGTCACCAGGTAGTGATTACGGTCCTTACCACACAGCCATGCAAAGAAGTTCCAGAGGTTAATTAACTCTCCGAAGCCAGAAGTAGCAGATTCTGGTGGAAACTTGCCTGTTTTTACACCACATATTACACTGGGGTTTGACTTATAGTTTTTCATAATCAGATTTCCCAGCATTCATGAGCACACTCACTTTTTATATTTCTTGTGTTTACTAGGAATCTAATTCGAGCTTCAGGTGTGGATTCCAGGCCCAGTTCTGCAGTCCCTTCAGTTCTCCAAGATAATCATTACTCAACATACTATTTTCACATCTGAACTTCTCCAGGTTTTTGATTCAGGTGGCATTTAAAGTTTTGCCTCTAAATTATTTATTTTTTATTTTAGGAGCAATTAGCAAGATTTCTATGACTTAAATATTTTACTGAGTATTATCTGAAATGCTCATGTCTTATTCAATGAATAAAATGATTACACTTATCAGTATTTTATTTTGCCTTCGAAGAGGTCCATCAGAAGCACATTTTATTTTGAGATTTCTTTGGATGTTCAAGCACAACTGAATGTAGCAGGTGTGTTTTTAATACTTGCTTTAATAAGAAATAACCTTCTTCAAGGAGAAGATCTATACCTAACTACATATTCACAATTGACTCTCAACGTCTCTTTCCAAAGTTAATATCTGCTCTGTATGCTTCTGTTTGGGAGCCCAGTTGTTTCATTCATCTTAAACTGATGAGATAGATAGATAGATAGATAGATAGATAGATAGATAGATAGAGTTTCTCACAAACATGATGTCAAGATATATAGTAATTATATATTTACAAAGACTTAACAGCTATATCTGGAGTTTTAATTTGTTAACCATTTATTTTTAACCTGATGACAAATTATAAAGGTTGAAATTCTTCAATCTGATTTCTAATTGAAACTCGTGCTCTGTTAATATCGTTTGAGTAAGGTTGAAGTAAGTATAACAAGAAGTGTCTTAAGAAACAATGGATTTGTCTTTTGAGAAAGAAAGGAAAATACATCTTGATGATTTCTATGCATTTAAAGTTTCTAATTTTTACACAAAATCAGTATATAACTTAAATATTTCAAGAATATTATAAACATAATTGGTTTATAAAAATCTTACATTAATTTCATGCTTATTGTACATATTAAGGTACTGTATATTTCTCCAATCACATATTTTAATTTTAAAAGCATTTTATGAGAGATTAGATTAATTTTTGAATTTTACATTTATAATTTGAATATCTAGCCCATATATATTAACAAATTTGATTTTCATTATAAGAACTGTTGTTTCTGATTCCTTATAATAAAGAAACTGAATGTCAGATGATAAACTTGAAAATTTTTCTGCTAAATATCACGCTATTCATTGATTCCTGTCACTTTCCTGGTTTCCTGGTCACTTTTCTGAATATAATAGTTAACAAGGCATTAAATAATTTACTCACTATAATGCTAAGTACATATGTTCTGTTTGAAAGTAAACTCTTTTAAAACTTTACTTTTAAATATTCTTATTAAGAGTGTTTTGTACCTGGTTAAAAATAATTTCCCATAATGGAGAGAATTCTCTATTTATTTGTGAACTGGAAGAATAATTACTTCACACTTATTAGAAAATATTCCCCTTCTTATTTGCATAAACTCTATTTATGCAAAATTCTTAGCTAAAATTCTTTAAATTTCATTCTTCTGAAAATAAAATGAACTTCCATAACTTTCTGAATATAATAGTTAACAAGGCATTAAATAATTTACTCACTATAATGCTAAGTACATATGTTCTGTTTGAAAGTAAACTCTTTTAAAACTTTACTTTTAAATATTCTTATTAAGAGTGTTTTAGATGGTCAAAATACTTTTCAATATGCATAGAATGGCAAACATTTTGTTTATTAAATAATGCATACAATTGCTACCATACTTATTGTGAAAAATTAACCTCTTTTCTTGTAAGTATATTCATATTCATAATCAAGCAATACATTATGTGTAAAATTGCCTATCTTGTTTATAATTTAAAATGCAACAATATGAATTCTATATAAACATATCAGACATCTACTGCATTTTCCATTGAAAGTATATTTTATTTTATTTTTTATTTTAATTTTTTTTGGCACTGGAGATTGAACTCATGACCTTACACTTGCCAAGCAGGCACTTGCTGAAAGTATATTTTAAATCTATGTATGAGAATTTAATTAGTATTATTTTTCTTTCATCAGAGAGTTTAGCTCTTTCATATGTAAAAATACATTTCAGATTTATGCTTAGTTCCAATCTGTGCATAATTGGTTGTATAAATTGATCATTTACTGTATAAGTTTGAAATTGTTTTCTGATAAATATTGGCAGATGTCTAACTGGTTATTGGTCTAATTGGTTATAAAGTTTAGGACATATGAATATAGGAAAATTATTGATTAAATCCAAAGCATGAAACATATGAAACAACAGAAAAATTGTTTAAAACACATTTTAGTATAATTTTTCTTGCTAATTTATGGAAAGATCTGCTTAACAGAAACAAACAGCTTGGAACTGAACTTTTCCATGACTGGATTTTAAATTAACCTTTCATTTGAGCAGCTAGAAGGACTACTGAATCCAGGAAATTCTGCTCCGGAATAAATGTACCTGGTTAAAAATAATTTCCCATTATGGAGAGAATTCTCTCTTTATTTGTGAACTGGAAGAATAATTCGCACTTATTAGAAAATATTCCCCTTCTTATTTGCATAAACTCTATTTCCATTTTTTCCTTCATTTCTCTCTTTTTCTAATATCTTTTCCCTCTCCTTCCTTCCCCATTCCACTACTATAATAAAAAATTTAAAAATAAACATGTAAAACAGAAAATATACCAAAGACTTTCTTCACATATCTCATTCATCTATGCCATAGCTTCACTGGGTTCAGACTGTTACACCATTTTATGGATAAGGAAATTGAGGCCAAGGAAAGATCCTCAAATTCACCAAGCTGTCACGAGTGGAGCCATGGCTCCAGGTCTGCCTCCCTGCAAAGCCCAGATTCTCCCGCCACACTCTTCGTCATGAAATAAGGACCTAGACTCTACTAAGTCTATCACAGAATGATCTATTGTAATGAGCACTGTCCCACTCTCAGATACTTTAGTGGTATAACAAGGTACATTGCATGTGAGGACTTTATAGGAGTTCACTTGTAGACAAAGCCAAATACTATTCGAGTTTTTCAGTGTTATCCCTGTTATCCTTTAGAATAACCATCTGTAATTTAAAAAAAGGTTATAAAACCCTTTATATTAAATTCTTCTCCCATCTATCTTATTTTTGACATTTTTACTGTTGTTACAAAAAGATCATTTTTCCCTGTATTACCTAGGACATGTATTCTGTTGGAACTTACCTATGACAATAAGTTTTGTTCTTCCACCAAAGATAGTCCTCTGAGGAGTCTATAATAATTTGACCCATATAAAAAAGCCTTAGACAACTTTAGCGTCCTTGAGTTCTTCAAATCCAAGAGGACCCTGATGATCTGGAGTTCTGTAGAAACCAGGCTTTTCTATTTCCTATTAATTTTATTCACAACAAATTCTGTGGCTAAGAAAATCAAAGAACTAACTTTTTGATGTATTTAATCTCAATGCTGTTAGTATAAATTAATTCAACATCACCATCACTGAGGTGAAACAAAATCTAATAAAATATGAAAAAGAAATTGTATTTTAAAAACTGGTTCTCATTATCATAGTAACCAAGAGATTATCATCATCATCATCATAATTGCCAAGTATGTGTAATTTGGCTGCCCTGTGTGCTCCAACATGACAGTGTAATCTCATTGGACCAATCCCTACCTTTACTTATAGAAATTCATCATTTTGCCGTTGCAACTAAACCCATGGCAGTAAAGGTCGTTTCTCTTCTCTCCATTTGCATCTACTTTGCTCTAATAAGCTGCCAATGCTCAAAGATATCATCACAGGAAGCCTACATTGCACATACCAAGCTTCAGAAGGCCTTCACTGATCTTATCTGTGATTTAAAACGATCTAAGAAGAACTGCTCAAGCTAGGATGAGAGTCAGGACATGGAGAGGCTTCACTTGTGCTACCCCAAAATGATGGCTGCTTTCCCAATCATCAGCATAGCGCATGTGACTTCCAAGCTTCCATCCAGACTGTTTAAGCTCAAACTATCTTCCATCAAGTGATGCTAAAGCCTTGCTTATAACTCCTGGCCTGGTTGTTTCAGGCAAAATGATGACCAAAATGTCAGGAGGCCTGGATTTCCAAGCCATGTAGGTCAGGAAGTGCTATCTGCCTGCTGCTATATGCTGAGGCCCTGGTATGTGCATGATGTTACATGTTAGGAGGTCCACAGTGCTAGGCCACAGTGATGTGCAATGCTTTTGTTTAATGACCATTTCCTCCATTTTCCAAAATGGATCTTAAAGGCAATGTCCACTGTATACGTGGCTTCCTGAGGGACTCATGCATTAAAGGTCTTTTTCTAGTTTCATAATGGGAAAATCATATTTGAAAATTGATGTCTGTTTTAATCAGTTAATAAAACTAAGTATTCCACTGCAGTTTTCTCCTTCTACATTTGAACATAAAACTTGGTATTTCCATTTCTCAGGGATCTACAGCTTGTTTTCCTCTTGTTAATATCTCCCAAGCCAGATCAGTAACTATAGTGATTCATAAGAACTGGACCAAATCATTTGGGCTCTCTTGGGATCCCACGTGAGAAGAGACAAAACGAGGAGCAGTTCCAAGAACACTAAGCCAGGCTTTATGCTGTAACTGGAAGCACCTGCATTCCTGCCTCCTTTCCCCACTACAGGACGAAAAGAAAAGTTGCCTTTATGAACTTTGTTCCAGGACCACTTTGTCCATGGTACCTCCATTTACCTACTCCCTGAAAGACCTTTTTAAAAGTCTCTGATTCTGCCAATACTTTGTGATCATTTATACAAATACAAAAAATTGGTCCCACTGGTAGTTTAAAAAAGATAAAGCTCATACAAAATTGCATTATATCTGAATGTAATCAGGAATTTAAGAATGAGCCCACTCTGCCAGGCAGTTTGTTAGTAGTTATTATCTATGAAAATCCATATCCATCCTCAACATCCCTAGTCCAAACTTTTTAAATTAAAAAATTTTGAGACAGGGACTTTTTTAGTCCCTAAACTTTCCAGAATGGGTCCTAATTTGTGAACTTCCTGGCTCACACTCCTGGAGTGCTGGGATTATAGGTGTGCACTACAATGCCTGAAAGCAGACTTTCATAAAAAGGCTATGGAACAACAAGAAAAAGTCTAAAACTCTTTAGCATGTCTTATGCTCCTCAAGAAACAGCCTTTAATATTATTTTTCTCTTGAGCAGTATGATACTGGGACATTTCATCAGATTTTTCTACCAAATAACATAGAATAACTTTTATCCAAAGTGTTTGGGAGCAGAAGTATTTCTGTTTTCAGAGTTTTTTTTTTAATTTTGAACTAGAGATGTTGAAGCTGGATATGGCTTTTCATAAGTAATAATTATTAACAAATTACAAAAGGAAAGAGTCATTAAGAACTCCTGCCTTTCTGACAGGTCTAAGAACACAGTGGAGACCAAACAAATCCAAACCTAGAACACTCACCCACCCAACTACAGGACCTAAAGTATTGGCCCATGACTAGTCTACCCATTCTAACTCCAGCAACTGGCAGAAAAATTGTCTGCAATAGTGAGACAATAAATGAGTAAATGACTCTTTAAAACTATGAAGACCCTTTCAGGACTGTGGTGTGGTATGGTTTTGTAGAACTTGCAAATTCCAGTAATCTGGGCCTTCTCCAAGCTATATACACAGAGTCACAGTACCACAAGGTTTGACTGTTCTCAGCCTTGTCTCTAAGGTATCTGAGAAGTAAAAAGAGAACTTCTTTTATAATATATAGTAACTTACCTAGAATTAAATTTTGTCACTGTTCGTAGACACAAGGTCAAAATCAAGTACATAGAATTTGCAGATTATTTGGAGTAAGAAGCTATGACATGTCTCAAAATATAGAAAACAGGCAATTAACAAAATACTTTTTTGAAGACTATCACATAGAGGACTTCTACAAAGGATAATGCAATAACTTATACGAGTGGTCTACATAAATGACATTGAACGTATTTATTTTCTAGCCCTCTGTCTGTCCTCTCTGCCTGTTTACTTCTTACTTATAAAGCAGCTGTGCTTCCATATCCAGTTGCTGTTCCAATACTTAGGCCAACCAAGGACATGGCAGAGACAAATTTTGTTATAATTGTATTTCTTTTTAAAAAACACCTTTTTATTTTTCATTACTAGGCTAAAAAAATCAGAAAAGTTACTTACCATGAGAAGTTACAATGAGCTTAGTTCCTTCTCCAAATATCTTGATCCAAGCTGAGTTAACACCATGGTCACAACTTCTACAAAAATCACAGCCTTTTCCAAAGCTTCCTGATGTGACCAGCAGTTTAACAACTTTGTTCTACTGATTCAACCTGCTGGGTTCCTTTGGTAGTTCTTACATACAGATTTTGTGATGTCTGAGAGTTTGTAAATTTTTCTATAAACTGACCTCAAAAACTATCCATGTATGATGTATGCTGTGGCAGTGACCACTGAAAAACTCTAAGAAAAAAAATACATGACAGAATTGGGCTAACTGGTTGACCAACTGCATTTCCTCTACGTTACCAAGGAAAGTTTTCTAAGAATTGTCTGTCTCCACATTTTTTAGAATTTCCAGGTGTTCAGTTGTATTGAAACTGCTCAGAGATTGCATCAAAAGATCAAGCCTCCTGTTCTCACAAACACCAAGACTTTGCCTTAGCTATTCAAAAATAAGTTTCTGAAAGGAGAACATTCTTGAGAACTGAAAACGTGCCAACACTTGGGAGAAATGTGAACCAAGGTCTCCACTTTGAATACAATCACATTTACCCACTTGGCATCATAATTCATAATTGAGACCAAGCAAATGAGAAAATCAGTGCTGGGATCACTTATTATTTAAAGAGTAAGAAATAACCCCAGTTCTAAGATACATTAAAAGAAGAATCCTGCCAGAGACAACTCTGTGGTTTTACACTGCTGATAAATGGTAGGGGGAATGGAGTGATAGGAAGAAATTGTCAGAATCAGCCCTGAGTGCGGATGAGGTGCCCAAGCTGCAAGGACCAAGGAGGACAACCCCCAATGTCCATTCTACACACACACACACACACACACACACACACATATATCATGTTTAGTATCAAAACAGCATAGCATCACACAACTATAGCGTTTGTCTGTATATATCAATTTTAAAATAAATTCAATGAGTCATTTAAAAAATAAAATATCCTGTAAAAACTTAGTCTTTCAACTAATTATGCTAAAACTTAATTTTAAGATTGGGTCAGAGCTTTTTTGGAAAGACTGCTCATCAACTTCCTTCACTTGCAGTTACACTTCAATTTGTTATCTGTAAAGGCTTATTTAATCAGTAAAACTAATAATGTCTACTTTATGATGGTGAATATTCTGGTCACTATTACTCAGAAATTTGAACAATCAAATATCCTTGTTAAAAATCACCACTATAATGCTATCACTAGCAATTGACTATGAGAGTTGGTCTAGTTTAACCCCAACGTCCAATTATTTTCATCCCTATTGAGTTATGCCAAGATTATAGTACTGAATCTTGTACTTTAGAATTGTGATTTGGGAGGTATTGTTGTCATGGGCTGCCCATTACCCTGTACCTGTCTGTGTGAACAGGTGGAACATAGAATTGGGGAAGTGGGATTCTCTGCCATGGATCTCCAGATGGCTGTGAATTAAGCTCTACCTTGACAGCCAATCACAATCTTCAGCAGTTCCCATGGGATTTAGTGTTGCTTGTGCTTTAGTTTCTAGTGAGTAAAAACACAGATCATACAAGAAGGTCGTATCACCTTCTTGTAAAAGTATCAGAGAAAAATTCAGAATATTTTGGTTTTCTCAAGCCTCTGCTTGTTATTACCAGAGAAGCAGAATATTTGGGAAGTGAAAAACAAAAACAAAAAGGTATCCATTTAACCAAATATCTCCATCTTTATGACATACAATTATTGCAATACTTCTTACTGAGATAAAGAGAGTTTAAGGATAAGTGTCTTTCATTTTCTGAAGTTTAATGCGAAAGGAATGATGTTGGAATCAGTAATTTTGTTCTTCCTACTTATTATACATCAAAAAGAGAAGCATTTATGTATAATATAATGCCACCAATTTTGCTGTCCCTACTGTTCTTCTTATTTTCAAGAAATGTCTCAGAAGATATTTGTGAGAAATGCATTCCCCTGTCCAGAGCAAAAGGATGGACTTCGGAGGCAACAAGACGAACAAAAGTGAAGCTTTAATGCGTTTGCAGTATTGCAAGCCTAGGTATTTATGTGACAGGCACACACAGAGTGGTCACATCAAGCTATTTTGACCCTAGCACATAATCACTTTCCTCTGTTCCTCACTGGCTGAGTACTAGGGGAGGCTTTTCAGTCTTTTCTAGTCTTTTCCTGGACATGCTCTAATGTTTCCTGACCTCTTTATAAGGCATTTCCCCAGTGCCTCTCCCAATTTGAGTTTGGATTTCTCTATACTACTCTCTACTCTTTACCCTGGGACTTTTTGAGTAGCAAGTGGTCCTGTGCAGTGATTTCATGTGTTTTGAAATTACATTATTATGCTTCTGTTTAACTTTAGCTAGAAGAATATGGTTTTCTTCTCCCTGTATCTTCTCATGCCTATATTTTACAAAAGTGCTCTTACTTTTTATTTTTATCCTTCCTGTAAGGTCACCTCTACTCAGAGATACCTCACAACTACACCGTGCATGAGCTTTGTCAGGCAGTTAGAAAGCTGCCAGTAATTTCCCACTTATAGTTCAAATATTTTATCTTGAAAATGGACCACCTTTAGATTTCTTTTTGTCTTACATATTGGGTGGGGATAAATTCTGGACCACTCTAACAAGGCAGAAAGTAGACTGAGACAGGCAATTCTGATCCAAGTACAAAGCCACCCAGTAAACACCAAGCCCTGGTGTCACAGTAAAAACAGAAGTCTGGACATTGGGTCAGTAGGTCCTTTGTGCATGAAGAAGTCAATGTCTCCCTTACCAAGTCTTTCTGGTTGTTATAATCCAAAGAAATTTCCTTTACTGGGGTTTTGAAAGAGAAAGAAATCTACAGAAGTGAAGTGTTGAAGTAGCTCTGAGAAAGCAGTGCAGGGTAAATGGAATATGAAGTCCACCCTCTGCCAAATTTAGCAATGTGGTTGTCACGCACTTCACTGCATCAGACCTGGTAGGTGTCTGGGGCTATCACTTGTAATGACAAAGCATAATTGTCACAAAACTCCTTTTTGAAAGGAAACCATTGTTGCTAGAAGCTTAGCAATGACCACAAAAGAGAAGGAAGAGACCCTACACTGAGACTCTGAAATGTAGGAGTACATCCTTGCCTCTGTGGGTAACTAGCTCAGGATGAGTCCCTTACCCTCTCTGGGTTCCAGTTTGATCAGCTGAAATGTGGCATTAGGTTAAATATGTCTCAACCTTCCCAATTCCAAGTCCTGTGCATCTAAGGATGAACACACTGAAGAGTCACTGGATGAATAAGTTCAGCTGGAGCACAAGAATTAGAAGGTTTTTCTACAGTGCTCTCCTGCCTTTGTGACACTGTATCCCAGCAGGCACAGTAGTACATGGCTTCATCTGATGGGACAACATTATTGATGATTAGGTAAAAGATACGGCTGTCTTTCTCATCTGCCTCAACTCAGGAGTATGGTTAGTCTTGCCTGTAATTCTTGGCTAAGCTATAAAGGGTCCTTTTCAGGGGCTCCCCTTCTTTCAGTCGATATGAGTGCATAATGACATTCTGGAAGAGGACCCCAGAAAGCTTGCAATTTATGTGCTATGTCCCATCCGGTCTCCAGGTAAAGGAGAACTGGTCCTGTGATACTGGCACTTCAGTGTCTCCATCTGAAAAGTGAAGAAGAGAAATAAAAGATGAAATTTTTTCATGTCCAGTTGATTCTAGAAATAAAAACAATAAAAGGACAAGTAGTAAAGTCAACCTATAAATCCGAATCAAAGTTAGGAGAAAAATCCATGAATTTAGCATTTCCAGTGACTAGTAGGAATGGACAGTAAACAAGACAATGATTTAGGACCTGGGATACAATGTCAGCCTTTACTCTGGAGAGGAGGAACATGGGAAGGAAAGACTTCTGAGCCAATGAGGATCAGGCATAGTGGGATCCATTGCAATGTTGGTTTAGCACCTTGCTGGAGTAAGAAACTTTAAGACATTGCTGAAATACCTGTTACCTTTTCCTTGAAAGCAATTCCCTCTTATCTTTCTTCAAATTTTGCTTCATCTTTTCTTGTTCTCTTTTCCATTCACTGAAAAAAGAGGGAGTTTATGTTTTGGCCCTCTTTTTTAAAAGTGGTGGGTAGCTTTATGTAGCAGACTAACTTACAGTCAACTTATAACACCCAGATGAACTGGATCAGTATAGCGCTGGGTGTGGAAGGCCCACATGAGGATTTTTGCCAACAGTATAAAGAGGAGAGTTGGCGGGGAAGATGGTGCGCTGTGTGCATGGAGAAGCATGTCACTCTGGTTTTCCTCATATGAACTTGGCTGTTCTCATTGTTTGAGGAGCTTGGGACCTTGTCACTGAGGATTGCTTATTATGGGGAAGAACTCTGGTTCGTACTTTGAGAATTGTTTCCTGGATCCGGTGTAGATCTTTCAACCCACTGGTGCAGATCCTTCATCCCACTGGCACAGACTTTCTAGCTTCTACCATTAACCTTTGGGCCTTTCCAGCACAAAGCCTTGACACAGACTTGCATGAGACATTGTCATGGGCTCGTGTCCTTCAGTTTGACTCATGGGGGCATTGCCATAGGTTTTAGGTCTTCAGCTGGACTCATATAGGACATTACCATGGGATCCAGGCTCTCAGATGGATTATTTGGGTCTCTAGAGTGGACAGATTTCCTACATTCTTTTTGCATTTGACTCTTTGGGTAAATATTAAAAAATAATCCTATAAATTATGTGTACTGCATTAACTCCTTTCTCTTGCAAACCCTGACTACACTTTCCAAGGCTTTCATGGGGATGAATGACTAGTATATATTAGCAGTATGCCAACCTAAAATTGGAAGAATGAAATGGAAAACTCTAAAAGTTTCTTAGGTCAGTCATACTGTCAGTGGCCTCAGCAGCAATGTGAAACTCAGGCTAATTTAATCTAAAAAGTCTTGTAGTTTACATCATTCTTGATTTACTCATTTATTCAATGCCAATAAACCACTTTAAGCAGTGTATCAAGGTCTCCTCTCAGGAAGTTTCCTGTAGATGGAAGGCAGAGATCACTGAGGACATTTACAAAAGACAGCCCTGGAAAGAGGCAGAGGAGAAAGTACACAGCTCCACCCA